CAACTGACCAGCTACAGGAATACCTATAAAAGCACTTAAACTCTGAGGAGAGAACTTCTTGTGCTCTCTTCACTGCAGGAAAACACAAAGTTCATCTTTCTGATACCGTGCAGCATATACTGTGGGCATCTAGTTACTGCTACCTTGTCCAGAGAAAAGCTTCCCATAGAACTTCAATGGTTACAGCTTTATTTCATTATAATGCAATGAATAAAAGGATTCAGACCCCAGCAGCACACTGCAAACACATCACTTTATTGGTACCAGATCCTAAGATTATGCTGTGCACATTAAGCACTGACTTCTGGTGCTGGGGAAAGGTTTGTTGTTAAAAACATGGGTTACTTACAGCCCAGCAAAGTAGTAAGTTCACTCTGAAGGGAACTTGTGTATGTGGACAACAAAGGCTGGGTTAATTCCTCCTGGGGGATTATCATGGGCTGCTGGCTGCAATACATTCCTCTATTCCTGCACGTAGCCATCAACTCATTCATTTAGGAACCACTTTTATTCCAAGACTCATAAAAATCCTAAGACAGAAGAAACCTGAAGAAAGGCCTTAAGTGCTTCTTAGGGAAAGGAAAATAAAATGGTGTTTATGCACCTCCCAAGCTGAGGCATTTTCTCATTAAAGGGAGGGGAATGAACCAGCAGCTCTGGAAACAGACTCTGTTCACCACATTTATTATCAATTTAATAGCCCTGAATGGAAACTGCAAGTGCTTTTGATAAAAATCAATTGCAAAGCTGTCTGCCTCACCGGTGCTTCAATAAAGTGCCTCGGTATCTCTTGCTGAAGCCTTGTTTTCGTAGCCTCCTTAAACAATACTCTCCATTAAATCACTGTACTGTTCCTCCTCTGAAAACAGACTGGAAGGCAAGTGTCTGAACCAGAACCCTTCATTCAGACCTCCCTTCATCAGCAGGGAACAGGGGGGTAAACCCTGATCAACACCCCCAGTTATGCAGAACACCTTAGTTCCTACTGTATAGTTTAAAATTACCTTTCAGGCCTCTGTGCATTTAAGTCTGGCGCTGGACCTCTCTCCCTGGAAGTCTTAGGCTCCAAGTCAAGCAGTCTTTGGGCTTGAAAGGATGACTTCAGCACCACACAAAGCCCTGACCACAGCCCTTCCCAAACCGGACTTGGATGTGCCCATCCATCACCCCATTTCACACATCCCTGCCCCAACTCACCCCTTCGGCCCTAAGGGAGCTGGGTGGTGGGACAGCAGCAAGATTTGGTTTGTATTCAAACACATCAGCACTGTCTTGAAGCCTTTGTAAAATCTCCAGAGGTAAAAAAAAATCCCTCAAAATATGACAAAATGGAACTGGTTTTCCTGTGTCCTCATGTGGAAGCCATATGGTCTATATCAAGTAAGCAAAAATGAAGGCACCAGTACTCCCCATTCTTGTAATTCAATCAGCTTTAATCATCCGAGATGTTTCTGCTAAACGATGGCAAGGGTATTTGTTCTAATAACCTTGAATCGAGTGGTGACACTTTAAAGATGGCTCCCTTGAACAAAGAGAGATAAAACACAATTTATGGCAGGATGTTCGATCTCAAGGCAAATTCCCACTACTGTAAATTGCTGCTTTTTCCCCCAGGCCAGCTCCTCACCATACAGCGAGCAGTCTGTCTTTGCTGGTTTACTACCCATCCTCCTGCACTTCTCCTCCTCGCTGCTCTGGAGGCCTGTTCACAATAATCCTTTTCTCTAAAGATTTAGTCCATCATATTTACAGCACTAAGTGGGAAAAATCAACAGCTTGGTTATAAGAACCAGGCCAACACCCAGAGCCACAAAGGATCAGAAACCAGCCATACTCAGCAGCCTATGAAGCCCACAGTAGCCAGTTTCACCCTCCAGACCCTTGCCAGCTTCTCCAGGGCTGGTGGCACATCAGCCCTCAGCTGGCCAGAGCCACCAGCACAAGCTGCCAGTGAAAGCTCCAATGCTCTCCGGGCTCTCCCTGTGCAGCATCACCAATGGTTACTGGGTTCAACACATGCTGAGCACGCAGCACTGGTTAAAAAAACACTCACAATACACCAGGAACAACACACAATCCCTAGATCTTCCCAAGGAAGCCTGCTAGGAAGCACTGACCACCACCACTGTGATGGGCTGAAGGGACCAGGAAGACTTCTAAGTGCCTTGGGATGCTGAAGAGCACCATTTGCTCACACAGCCTTTGGGCAGGGTTGGATTCTGCTACAAAGTCCTGGCTGAGGTTTTCAGTTTATATGCAAAGTGATGCTATTACCTCCTTCCAGGTTAAAGGCAATATGGAATGAACAAGATAAGTTCAGGAATCTCTCAGACAGCAGCCCAGCACCCTCCACACAACAGCCCCATCAAAAGCTACCTCCTCCACTCAAGAGAGGACCTTGCTGGAGGCATAATGGCAGTTCAGTGTCCACAGGTCAATCAAAGCATCAAAGCAAAATGAAGTGCGGTTTGTAATTACTGGCCATGGTGATGGCTTATACAGCTTTGGTTCTGCCACCACTGGAAATTAAATAGAGGCTATTATAAAGTCAGTTCAAAAATCAGGTAGCTTTCAGCGATGAGGAACCCGGCTGCCGTTTAAACGGGCACTTTAGATTCAGGAGACTCCATCCATCTCCATTACAAATCCTCCGAGCTCATCCTTGCATTACTTTGCCACATTAAGCAAAAGGGTTCACATAAAAAGCCTGTCTGGCTTCAGACATTATCCAGCTAAAGAGGAGGAAAAGAGAAAATCCCTTGTATTACCTCTCCCCAAACCTTCTCCCACATCTTTGCTCCTTCAGACCTGGCATTTCTCTGCAGACATCGTGTAGCCCTAATTAAATCTTCATGTGAACTCACTGCTACTTCCTGGCAGAGCACACACATTCTTGGTGTGCTGATGGACCTACAGGATTTGCTGCACTCCTCCCTTCTGGTGAGTGTTAGGCCTCGCTTGAAAACATCACAACTGTGTTCAACACAATATGTTGAACCAGAAACACAAAATCATTCAGTTCCTTTGAAAGGATGAAGAAGAACATAAGTGAAAATCATATTCCACAAGCTCATTGAAAAAAAAAAAAGCCTGTGGAAACAGTGGGCAAATAGCACTGTCTGAGAACAAGGCATGCTTTTGTCTCCCTGTTGTCTCAGGGAAGGGATAACTGGCAGGGATATGAGCAGCAGAAATACCTTCCTTCCAAAATAAGATCTGCAGCTCCCTCTTCTCCCCCCCCCCCCAGAATGAGAACCCATTCTTAAAGCACAGCTGATTTTGCATTAAGGGAAGCTGCATTAGAAGCCCCTCACCTCCCCCCCCCCCCCCCCCCCAGCCTCAGCTGATGAAAGCAGCTCCTTTGGAGCTTTGTGTTCAAAGCCTCCAAGTTGGAAGCAACTGCTCAAAGAGGGGATGGAAGAGCTGTGAAAACCTCTGCAGAGGTTGGAATGCAGAAGGTTAGAAAAGCAGCTTTTAGTGCTAAACACCCCCCCACCATCAATTCTTAAGGAAGCCCCTTTAAAACACTTACTGATGCTAAAAGGAACTGACAATAAATAGATGAGAAATGATTGCCTTCCCTTTAACAGCACTCACTGCAGAAGGCCTGTCCAAGCAGCTATCAGCCAGCTGTCCCGGCAGATGTGGTCAGATGGCCAAACACAAACATGATTCTAAAGTGCCTTTGCTTTAACTTTCCCTGTTCCCATTCTTACCCTCAGCACTTCTCTCCCTAAGCAGAGGGAATAACCACCCCAGATGGCTAAAGCAAACCAGCAAGTTACACAAATGCTCCATAGAGCCTGACAAAGCAGAGTCCAGCCATTTTCAGTGCATGGTGGGAGACGCACCCATGTGAGGGCCTTTCACCTCTGCAAGGTGTAGGTGAGGAAATTACTATAGAATAACCTCTGGGCTTTGAGGCCACGACTAGGTCGCCTGCCAAATGTTTCCCCTTTAATTTCCAATTGGAAATTGAAGGAACAAGTGGACCAAGATTCCATAAATTAACATGGAATAGCTATAGGCTATATGTGCTATATATAACTCCTAAATAAGGCATTAGAACTCCTGGTGTTTTGAAACGCAGAGCATTCAACTGCACGTGGCCTTGGCTCCTGGGACCCCTCACTGCAGGAACCTGAGCAGCTCTGCTGCTCCTTCCCAATGTAAGGGATTTTTTAGCTCTTCAAGGTCTAAGAGAAGAGAGCAGGAGAGCAAAGCCAGGCCACCAAACCATGGGCAAGGCATCAAACTCTGCACAAGTGGTGCCCAGGCTTCCTCCCACGGTCCTGGCTGTGGCAACCCAGCCCAAAACCAGACCTGCCACAGCTGAAAGTCAACACATCTATGGGAGGGAAGGAAGGAGGAGCAGCCACAGCAGCCCCGGAAGGCCTTGGCCAGTCTTCCAGTGGAAGCACAGCCAAAATAACCTGTCTGAAGTCCACAAAGCATGAGCAAACCACAATGGAAGCTCTGGGCTGAAGACGGAGCATTGTACCCCTAAACCACAGCACCCTCCCTGCACATGCACAGGCCCAGGGGGGTTCCACACTTTGGGTTAAAGGCAGCAGAACCCCAGTGCTGTTCTGTAACCAGGCACACACAGGGAGCAGAAAGAGGACAACAACTTCCCTTCACCCACCAACCACAATGAAGTAGTGTCGCTCCCCCCCATGGCAAACAGCCTGCCCAAAGCCACCCCCCCCCCCCACTGCCCACAGACCCCTCTGTGACCCACACTAGGGCATACAGCACCCACCAAACCCAAACCCCTCCACGGCCAGAGCCCCCCCAACCCCTACTAGCCCCATTACACACACCACACCCCCCATAAGCCCCACAGAGGCCTCATCTCCTCCAATTAACTCCACAGACACCCCCCCCCCACAGGCCCTCACAGACCCCCCCCCCCCACATCCTCCACATCACCTCACCGGCCCCCACCGCCCGGAGGCCCACAGCCCCGCTATCCCTCCAGCCCCTGCTCGCCCCCTTACCGAGGCTCTGCCCCACCGGGGTGCTGAAGGGGTTCCCCAGCAGAAACTCCATCTTGGGATGACAACAAACAGCGGCCTGGCGGCCTGCCCCCCACACCCCTTCCCCGTCCCTGTCCCTCACCCCGCCCGGACAGACAGCCTCACAGACCAATCGCAGCTTGTTTTATCGAGCAGGTCCCGCCTTCTCGCAGTTGATTGGATAATAGATGGACACCTCGTGGGCTCGTAGGCTAAGGAGAGTGTCCATCACTGTCAAGAGAAGGGCACGCCCCCACGGTAGTCCCTCCCTCCTGCTGATGGACGCAGCTGCTGTCAATCCTCATTGGGCAGAGGCCAAGCCATTCTCTAATATTATTGGGCCAGAGGAATGTCAATCAAGCGAGCCTCCTCCCGCCCCGAGGGCACGATGCGGGAGTTGATTGGCTGACACGGATTTCTCGTGCTCTGATTAGCAGCCGGCCTTCCCACCCACTCCCTGACTATTGGCGGATGAGCCTGTCACGTGGCCGCCCTTAGCAACGCACCGGGGCTTCCTTAGCAACCGGTGGCGGGGCACAGGTGAGGGCCGGACAGGGCCGCGGGCTCGGGGGACCGGGGCTGAGAGGCCCGGGGAGCCCCGGCCTGAGGCTGGGTGGGACCCGGGGTAAGGCGGCAGCAGACCGGGGTCAGAGACACCCTGACAGGCAGGGACAGGGACCCAGTGCGTGTGCGGGGGAAATGGTGCTCGACCCAGGGCTGGGGTCCAGTGAGCAGCAGCTTTGCGTCTAGAGGCTGACCCATTGCTGGCACAGACACCCCTGCTGTTCCCTGCCATATCCTGGGCTGCATCAAAAGGAGCGTGACCAGCAGGTCGAGGGAGGGGTTCCTGCCCCTCTACTCTGCTCTCGTGAGACCCGACTTGTGTGCAGTTCTGGTGTCCTCAACATAAAAAGGACATGGAACTGTTGGAACAAGTCCAGAGGAGGCCACGAGGATGATCAGGGACTGGAACACCTCCTGTATGGAGACAGGCTGAGGAAGTTGGGGCTGTTCAGCTGGAGAAGAGAAAGCTGCGTGGAGACCTCATAACAGCCTTCCAGTATCTGAAGGGGGGCTATAGGGATGCTGGAGAGGGACTCGTCACTAGGGACTGGAGTGATAGGACAAGGGGTAACGGGTTAAAACTTAAACAGGGGAAGTTTAGATTGGATATCAGGAGGAAATTCTTTACTGTGAGGGTGGTGAGGCACTGGAATGGGTTGCCCAGGGAGGCTGTGATTGCTCCATCCCTGACAATGCTCAATGCCAGGTTGGACGAAGCCTTGGGTGCCATGGTTTAGTGTGAGGTGTCCCTGCCCATGGCAGGCGGGTTGGAACTGGATGATGTTAAGGTCCTTTCCAACCCAAACCCGTCTGTTATTCTATGGAACCAACTGTGGATAAAGAGGTGATGGATAAATAGAAGGGAAGTGGAAAACGTGAGCACAGCCATGGAGAGGTTGGGTTGTTAATTAAAAGCCATGACAAGAAGAGAACTCTCTAAACCCATGCGTTTATCCTTCCTGTCCTGTGCCAAATATCAGCAGAACTTACTCCATAACTACAGACACCTCACACAAGCGGGAGTTGGATGATTCCTGTCCCTCAGACTGATTCATTCACTGGGCACAGCTCTAGGGAGATAAGAAGTCTCCTTGCTTCCCAGGCAACATTAGGGATATTTAAATGACAAAGAGCAGAAGGGTTTGACTGACAGCATTGTCTATATCCCAAAAGGAAACACGCTTCCTTAATGAAGGTGGGTTTCAGCAACAAGTGACTGCCATGCAATGGACTGTTGCTCTTTAGAGGTACTGCACGGGGCCTCCTTTCCTAGTCTATTTATTGGGCCAAATCCTGGTATTCTTCACTGAAAACACCCAAAAGTCATTAGAAGTTCACATATGAACATGCCTGCCTTGCACTTCAAGCCAAACCAGTGACTCCATGATCCAAGTTAAGTCTTTGATATGAACTGGGAGGTATTAGCTCTTAACGCTCAGCTGTGCTCTAAATTCCTTGGTATCGCCACCCCTCTTCAATGAACGCTGGAAACAGCCAGGCAGTCATTTTATTTCTCTTTCTTTTCTCTCCTTTAAGGCTGATACCATCTAAAAATGAGTCACTTGTATGAGAACATCGAGCCGAACGTTATTGATGATGAACTGGTTCAGAAAGTTCTTGAAGAGGAGCGCACTGAAGACATAGAAAAGATTGTCAGAAAGGAAGGCTTTAACTTAAAGGATGTGAAGGAGCTACAGCTTAGTTTTAGAAGTGAGTATCAGAACATCAGAACGATAGAATCAAGCATGAATAGAATCATGGCAATGAAATGCTCACGATTAGCTTGGATTTGTTATGTGAAAAGCAACATTTGCACTTACATTTTCAGGCAGAGCTCTATGAAGTAGCTTCATTGGAGCGAGCTGGGTGCTTTTGCTGGTGGGTAACGTTAAAGCTGCTTAACTTGATGCTGTTATTGTCACTGCTGTTCTTATTTAACATTTATATTGTGGTGACACCTACAGGCCACAGGCCTGTTGAGCCCTTTTGTGGACAACTCCAACCCTGGGCAGGCGCTGCCGTCGCTGGTGATGATGTGAGAGCTATTTGGTCGATGATGGTGATTACAGGCCAATTCAGTGGTTTCCTCCCGTCATCGGTAGCATTATCGCAGCTTGCCTCTGACTGTCCAACCAGGCTTAAACTTGCATTCTAAAAAGGAAAAGGAAGAACATTTGGCTCAATATTTGAGTGTTCTGGGAGTATGTAATTTGATGGGGAAAAATCTGCCTTCCATTATTCCTCCCGTGCTCCGGTGAAATCATGGTGTGTGTTAGGTGGGTTCCTTAGAGCAGTCTCCCTGATCCTGCATGTGTTCCTCTACAAATACAGAATATAGAGCTGTGTGAGTATTTTGTGCATGAAATACCTTCCTTTAATCTGCACTAAACACTGACAGCAGCAAGGCAGCCACCAAAAATCTCCTGTGAAGCCATTGCGGATGGAAGGAGAACGAGGAGTGGGAATATTCTGTATTGTGTTGGCCCCAGTGTTTTGCTGTACTGCCTAATGACCCTCCTTTGTGATTCTGTTTTGGGAGCAAGCTAAATGCAGGGATATTGATTAGCTCTAAACTGCAGCCTTCACAGAAAGAGTAGACCCCAACTTGCTCTCCTCCGATGAGAATCCCAGGAGCGCAGGAGTCATTTACACAAGCAGTTGCTGGCCACCTCTAACCTGCAAATGCAGAGAAAAGCAGAATCTCATCCCAAATCTCCCTCCTGGAGGTGGAAAGGAAAATGAAGGTCAAGGTCTCCTAGTAGTGGATTCATAAAGCTGCTCCTGACTGCAGGGCTGTAGTCAGCATCCCCTCAGCGGCTCGTTGGCATCGCTGATGAGCAGTGTGCGCTGGGGCAGGACACTGAGGTTAACTGGGCTGCTTCACTGAAATCTCATCCAGCCAGTGCAGCTCTCAACTCTCTAGAGCAGTCATCACACGCTCTTGTAATCTGCTGAAAATCATTTTGGAGGTAAGACTGGGCATGTTTGCCTTGTGCAAGGCAGTGTGGCTGCTGTACTGAGAGCTGCCTCGCATGGAAAGCAATTCTCTTTGATTTATTTGAGGTGGTTTTCTATGTTTTTAGATATCCTGCAGACTGCTAATCTGTGGCAGTTTGAGAATCTGACTAAGCTGCAGCTGGACAACAACATCATTGAGAAGATAGAAGGCCTGGAGAGTCTGGTTCACCTTGTATGGCTCGGTAAGACACAGGCAGACGAGGCTGGGTGCCTTCACACAGTGTGCGATAAAGCCAGGATGTCACATTCCTTCTCAAACACGACTGATAGGAGCTTTCCCAGGGAAGGCTGTCAGCTGTCGGTGTGTTTCCTTGTTTGACTGTCAAATGTCAAAATGCCTGAATATCAGAGCTGCAAAACAATCCTTCAAATGTTTCAAAACTGGGTTTAATACATGCAGGGTGGCAGGAACAGGAAGCTGAGACTTTCAGATTGTTCCCAGGGTTTGGAGGTGACTTTCAGGAATATTTATGGAAACGTCTCTGTGGTTGAGAAGCCTGTATGCTGTTTTCAAAGCTAATGCAGGCATTTCAAAGCCTAGAACCCACTCTCTTTTCCCCTCCATGCTGAAGAGCTTGTCATCATTGTTGTCCCAAGAAGTGCCCATCTTCATAGTTTCATGTGACTGCTTTCAAACTGAAGACGTTGAGAGTGGCATCACGCAGTGGTGCAGGTTTTGATGCTGGGCAGACTGGGGAGCTTGCTGCTACAGATGCATCACTTAGAGTGCTGGCTGGTGGTAGAAACATACCCTCAGCTGTCTTTGGGAACACCATGCAGGGCTGCAGCTCATAGGGACAACTTAAGATGTCCAATAGGCTCTGTGGTTCACACTGTTCTGCTGCACAGTGACTGACTAACACACTGGTGAATCAACAGCTGATCACCACAATGTCAGCACAGTGTTCTGAAGCACACTTACATGGGTTGGTTTGCCCAAAGGCTGCAGTGCTTCAGCAGCTGCTGCGTAAGTCTCTTATCCCTCCAAGGCCTGGGGTGATGCAGACACCTCATCAACCGTTTTGGGACTCCTGAATGGCTCAGTACTGGCCTGAGGAGAAATACTGCCCCTATGACGAATGTAGGTGTTATAATAGATTTCTGACAGGATAAGAGGAGACTTCAGTGAGTGAAATAGCTCAAGTGAACATACGCCTTTGCATGCCTCCAGGGTGATTGGTCCTATGGGAATGACCCTGACAGTGGGCACTGGTGTGGCAGGCAAGAGCCTGCAAGAACCAAGGCAGGGAGGGTCAGATTTGTCACAGAAATAACCCCCTTTTAGGGCATTTCCCCACCTCTTCTCTTGTGTTTTGGGTTTCCCCATAAGCTACAAATCACTTTCAGCTGGACTCTGCATGGAATACCTTCAACTGTGGAAGGACATGTGCATGGTTTGTTGCAAGGGGGAGATGTGAACAAATGATGGTTTAATGCAGGCTTTCCTGTGGAACACTGAACACCCCTGAGGAAAATACTGCCCATCAACTCCTAATGCAAGAACCAGGCTAAATGCAAGGTCTGAATCAAAGTGTTCTGCTAGAAATAACTGAACTTTCTCAACTCGTCCTCAGACTTGTCCTTCAACAACATTGAAGTAATCGAGGGCCTGGATACCCTTGTCAAACTGCAGGACCTCAGTCTCTACAATAACAGGATATCTAAGATCGAGAACCTGGACGCATTGCAAGAGCTGCAGATCTTCTCCATAGGAAAGAATAACCTGACCACTCTGGAAGATGTGAGTGCTCCCTGGATTTGTAAATGTTCCCTGTCAAAGGATCACATATTCTAAAGCTGACATTTACCACTGTGTCTGAGCCCCTCCTTAGGGGAGGAAATTCTCCGTAGGTTTTCACTGCGTCTGTAGTGTAAATTATGGTTTTGGTAAGCTCTGTTGGTGCTAAGTGCTTACTGCAGCTATTTCTCTTTTAGATTATTGACTCCTGGGGGCCTGCTTCTGTTACTGCTATCAGCCAGGGCAGAATTCCTATGGGATCCCATGAAAGCTAGAAAAGGAATAAGTAGCTATCGATGAGAAAAGGAGGGAGTGGAGACGAGGATGTATTTGGGGTTCTTTCAAGGTCGGCTGACCAATCTAAGGCCCATGATTTGTATCTACCCCATCTCCCTTCTCTCTACACCCAACGTTTATGTATTCACAATATAAATTTAAGTATTTCCTTTCCTGAAAGGATTAGAAACTCCTAATTCAATGTTGTCTGTGTTTGGCAGCAGAGCACCATATGTATCACAACATTAAGCTGACAGAGGGTGGATTTAGATTAGACATTAAGAAGAAGCTCTTCCCTGTGAGGATGCTGAGGTGCTGGCACAGGGTGCCCAGAGAAGCTGTGGCTGCCCCATCCCTGGCAGTGCTCAAGGCCAGGTTGGAGACAGGGGCTTGGAGCAAGCTGCTCTAGTGGAAGGGGTCCCTGCCTGTGGCAGGGGTTGGAACTGGGTGAGCTTTAAGGTCCTTTCCAATCCAAACCGTTCTATGATTCTATAACTGTATTAAGAACAATGAATTTCAAGGCTGTGTGTTTCCCAGCACTGGGATGAGCATCATCTCTTTCCCCTTGGCACAGGTGGTCTATTTCAGGAGGTTTAAACGCTTACGGACACTGAACCTCGCTGGGAACCCTCTCTGCGATGACAAGCGGTACCTGCTCTATGTTGTTGCTTATATTCCCAACCTGGTGTATTTGGACTTCAAGCTCGTGAGAGACTCCACAGTAAGCATTCCTGCATTCCCTGCTTGTGAAATCCAGCAACAGCATCTTACAGAGCGTTTGCTTTGTTGGTGTGCCAGCAATATCCTAGCACTGGGGGCAGGTTCCCTGCAGAAATGAGGCTCCCAGAAACATGCAGTGTTGATTCTGCCTCCACCTAACAGCTGTGAACCTGTAGGCCAAATTCTATCAAATCTGACAGGGAGGCAGAGGTGTCAGAGGCATGATGTCTTCACAGATTTTATGGAGATCAGCAGCTGTGTGTGGGAGGGGGGCCTGGTTAATGTTGCCACAGAGAGGCTGCAGTGTAAGCAGAAGCCTTCTTAGAGATCAGAAATATCTCAGAGGAAATCAGTCTTGAGACGTGGATCTGGGGGGAAGAAGCCTTGGTGGTCCTGCTGCTCAGTGAGCAATTACAGAGTGGACTGACTCTGTATCCAGGCAAGCAGGTACTGTTCAAATGCACTTCCCACTCTTGATTCTGACAGTGCAGCTGCACTGGTAACCTGTGGGGCTGCTTTTTGATCCCAGGGCTCAAAGGAACACAGAAGGGGGTTTTGTTTGGGGTTTTATTTAAAGTAACCAAAGAACATGATTAATTGTGAATTTGCTTGGCACAGAGCAGGGCCTGTACTTGGAATATCTATTACTTTTACCCTAGGATAGAAAGGGTTTTCCAGGTCACCAAGTCCAGTCCCTGCTCACACAGACAGTACGTCATAGACCTGCAGACTTAAATTTGTCAAGCTTCAGTTTCGAGCTAATGAGGTTCTTGCCCCTGCCACTACTTTGCCATCCACTCCTCCAAAGAGCCTTCTCCTCCCTAGTAAATGTACTAAACTCTCCAGCTGATCAAATCAGAGCTCAAATCCTGGAAGTCAAAACAGGGCTTCCTGCTAAAAAAGAGAAAAACAACCCAAAAGATGAGGGAATGGGGAGAGAAAAGTTTCCTGGGACTGAATCCGCTCAGATGCACCGAGTGCAGAGTCAGAGGAACGTGGCAACAAAAGAAGGGATGAGGAATGGATTAGTAACTTCGTAAGCAGTTTAATTCAGTGCCCTCAGAGAAATGGAGATGCACGTGTCACTCAGGTGCATGTTCCAGAAAGTCCAAGTGCTGATGCCCACATTTTTTGAGCAATGCTGGATAATCTGAGAACAATTTGCTCTTTGTTCTCATTTCTCAGCGAGAAGAGGCAGTTTTACAGTATCAGTATCATATTGAGCTATTGGAACAGGAGGAGGCCAAGGCCCTGGCTCAGCTGGAGGACAAACAGGCAAAGCAGAAGGAGCTGGAGTGCCACAAGGTATGTTTTCTTTGGCTGGCTGTATATTGTCTCAGGAGAAAGAAGCGCAACACATATTGACTTCTCCTTTACCTGCTTGAAGATTTAATGAGAGGTTAACATCGACCGTGCTAAAACTAAGGCTGAGATTAATGTCTGTGATCTCTGAATCTCATCTTCAGAATGAAACCAGGAACTGCTCTGGAATACACATGACGTGGGGAACAATGAACTTACAGACCCTGCAAAGCTAAATAGTAAATCAGACCCAAGGATCTTATCAGCCTGACATGAGATTAAGAACATTACAGGTCTGAGGGAACTCTCAGCATCATCATAGTGCAGTGATTTTTTTCCTCCTTCAGACTAAGTTAATGTTTTTCATTAGTTTTATGGTTAAACCATTCCAGGCTTACAAAGATAACTATAGTCCTGTGAACGGACTGAAAACAAGCCCAGGCAGACTGGTGCTGTCAGTCTGGCTCTGTATTCCCCACCTCCAAAAGATCAGACTGGCTGGAGAACAGGAGCTGGTTTAGTTACAGGGAGGGCATTTTCAGCTCTTCCCTCCATCCCTCCTCAGAGTCCATTGATTCCTTATCTTAAGGAATAGCCTTGTCATATGTGGTTGAATGTGATAATGTCTTCTATAAGACTAAACAGTGTTTTCTATCTTCAGGCTAGAGTGTTCTAGCAGCAAAGGCACCAGGATAGTTGTCAGCCCAGTTGCAGGGTGCTTTCCTCACTTGGTGTATCTATTGTGTTGGTATAACTGTGTCTGCACCAGCATTCCTTTGCTGGTAAAGTGCTTATAGGAGAGACACATGCTGAGCACTGGCAGCAGGTTGGCAGTCTTCATTTTACTTATATTGCTCTGATTCTCTTCAAAGACAGCCTTTGTTGAGTACCTGAATGGATCATTCCTGTTTGACAGTATGTTTGCAGAGGATACAGAAGCTGCCAAACTGGCTTGCCTCCCTGGAGTGGATGACCTGCTGCAGGCATATCCTTCCTGGGTTTAGAATACCTACAGCTAAAATGTAATGCCTCGAGTTAAGAAGGAGGTGCATCCACAGGGATTCTTCATCCATTGCTTTTGTCCAGGGCTAAAAGCTCCATTGATGTAAGATCTGAAACAGTCTGTGTTCAACTTTTGAATAGTATCAAAAAAAAAACACTGCAAGACTCTGAGACCACTGACAGCTTTAAGGCTTGATGCCTTGTGAAATATGAGGGCTAAAAACAAATGGTTTCTATGACTGGCAAGCTGGCCAGCCCAGCTTGAAACAGCCCAGTTGTAAACCCACTTGTTTCTGTCAGCAACAGGTCATGGGATTCCAGCATTCCGAATCCTCACTGTTGTAATTCCCATATTCCCTTTCCTTCCCTTGAATCCAACGCCTTCTTTTCTGACCCTTCAAGAATCAAGGCTTTGTACTTTCTTTAAGTCAGGAATCCACTTACAGTTTAAAATGAGCTGCAAGATAAATCTCTGTCAGTTAGATTGTGAAAGCGCAGCCACTGAAATCGGGTTGAAATGGAAGTGGTAGGAGATAGGAACAGACTAATCAGAATGATATGAGTCGCATATCTCATAACCTGCCAGAGCTGGCAACATGAAATTTTCAGGCCAACACATTTTTCTGATCATTGCTCCTACATGGAGGATCAGAAAGCAGACACTTCTTTTCCTCTTCTCTTTCCTCATTCAGATTAATAGAGCATTGTCAAGGCCAGTAACTTGACCTTCCTTAAAATTGCATTACACTGTTGGGGGGAAAAATGCATCACAGCTTAACTACAAGAGACTCCAAAAACAATTCCATTGCCAAGATAATAGCAGAAGAAAAATTGACGTTATTTTTGTGATGCTACCAAGTCAGGAGTTTATTCTCTGCTCTGGCTGTAGGCTCCAGAGCTGTATTTATTAACTACTCTGGCACTGTATTCACACTTGCGAAGATAGATAGTGTTGTATGCTTCATTCTGCTGCTGTGTCAGAAAAGAGTCAGAGAAGCTTATGCATTTCCTTTTCTTCAAGGCCTTTTCCCCCTCAAGTTGCCACAGCTTTCTCCATACCCTTAAGGCAGCAAAATCCTCGGTACAAAACATGAACGGGTGACCCAGCCCTGCCATAGACAATACTTGGCAGCCTTCTCCCTGCAAGAACCACGGGGTTTACAAAACAGTAGCTTGTAACTCTTGTTGCTTCAATCTGCAGTGGTAGAAGGCACGTAGCATGTTGCTCCACTCAACAAGCAAAATACCTTGACTCTGGTGTCACGTACAGGGAGGAGTTTGTCTCAGTTTGTGAGAGCCTTTTTAACTATGGGCTGAAGGAGCATGAAAACCGAGAAGCTGAAGTCTCCCATTTCTATGAATACCTTAATGAAGTGTTAACAGCCAACCAGCAAGAAGGCAGGAAAAGAATCCTAGAGTTTGAAAAGCAGAGCAAAAAGGTAATGTGGCTGTACTTTTGTTTGTTTCATACGGGATCTGTCTATATTATATCTGTATCACGTGCCAGCTTTTAATTCGACTGAAAACAAGGATAACTCCATGAAAATTAGTTCTACTATTCTGGATTTACACTGCTGTAATAGGAATCTGTACTGGATCCCTAATGGATGGAACAGCCGCCTGCTCCAACCCTGCTCAAGCAGGGCCACCACAGCAGGCTGCCCGTGTTCATGCAGCTACTGAGTAAAGGATGGAGACTCCACAACCTCAGGGGGCAACCTCTTCCAGGGCTCACTCCCTGATCTATCCTTAAGTTTTTCTGATAGGATAAATCTATACCAAGAAAAGATGCTGTATTAGCAATACAATGTCATTAACTAACAGAACGGTAAAAGGTGTTTACTACTTTATGTAGGAAAAGAATTTGGGGATTGAAGTTTCAAACCCTTTGGGCAAACCACAACCAGCTATCACTGACAGCCTTTATCTATACTGGAAATTCACTGTAGGACACAATTTAGATGCCAGCAGGTTATTTTACCATTCATAAAGGTAAAGATCCTTCAAGGCTTTACAGAACGAGAATAGCTAAGTATGATTTTTATTTGCCATCCAGAAAAGTGACCAGCCTTTAACAAAATGGAAATGCTCAACCTTTCTTTTAGCTAAAGCATTTTTGATGAAGTTGATTTAAAATCTGTACAGGTTTATCAGATTTAATGCCAATCTCCTTTGCTGTGAGGCCTCCAATAGCTCTTCCTTCATTGAAAAATGGGGAAGGAAGGAGATTGCAAGGGATTCTGTTTGCTTTCAAGTCATTTTCTGCTTTGGTTCGTTTTGTCAACAACAGTTTAAAGAACTTTAATAAAATAGATCAAGTTATTGTAATGTATTTTTCCAGCCTTTTTTAAGCAGAAACTATCTTTTCTCATTCTGCTCAACTACAGCCACCCACTGTGGCTGCTAAGGGTGCAGCTTCTAGCTGGATCCCTTTCTAACCATGTATAATAGATGGATCATTATTGTGTTTCCACAGGAATAATAAGAGGAGGGGATGCTAAAGCCCGGTGACCCTGTCAGCTGAGCAGAGCAACTGACACCAGGCAGAGTCACAAGCCCTGGCTCCCTTTGGAAACCAGGTCACTTCTATTTAGGTGCCTTCTCGCTGCTGCTGAGTCACTCTGCTCCCAGGTCCTTGAACCTTGCTGACTCATGCTGGCACACCAGCCCCATGCGCTCTACTTGGGATATGAGTCTGCAGCCTTATCAGAAGGCAACATGGAAAGATGGAGATGCTACAAGGGCTGGAGCAGCTCTGCTCTGGAGCCAGGCTGAGAGAGCTGGGCTGGGTCAGCCCGGAGAAGAGAAGGCTCCTTAAGGGGAGACCTTAGAGCAGCTCCAGTGCCTAAAGGGGCTCCAGGAAACCTGGAGAGGCGCTTTGGACAAGGGCCTGTAGGGACATGACAAGGGGAATGGCTTTAACCTGCCAGAGGGGAGATTGGGATGAGCTCTTAGGCAGAAGCTCTTCCCTGTGAGGGTGCTGAGGCGCTGGCACAGGGTGCCCAGAGAAGCTGTGGCTGCCCCATCCCTGGCAGTGTTCAAGGCCAGGTTGGACACAGGGGCTTGGAGCAAGCTGCTCTAGTGGAAGGTGTCCCTGCCCGTGGCACGGGTTGGAGCTGGAGGAGCTTTAAGGTCCCTTCCAACACAAACCAGTCTGGGATTCCAGGATTCTACGGCAATGCATACTCAGCTAACTTTCACTTGAATTCCCAGTAAATCTTCCATTAAAAACCAAAACCACACCCCCCCAAACCAACCAGCCAACCAACCCGCATCCCCCCAAAAAAACCCAAATCAAACCCAAAGAAACATGGCTAAGGCCACATTTTGGCCCTCCACCTTTGCCTGATGACCTGCAGGCTCAGCTGTAATTGAGCTGCAAGAAGAGGACCCAGTGGTCATTGGGATGGTTTTCATCTGAATACTGAAGAAGTTGGCATCCGAACTGAAGGCTGCATTTTAACAGCATTTCCCCATTCATTTCAGATTGCCAGAGGAGTTCAAAGGCTGCAGAGGCCCCAGCAGACTGGAGTCTGTGAGCCTTTCTTAGGGGCTGTTTGTCTCACTGTAATCCTTTCATGTAAACTTGGGTAACCTGTAAAATAACTGCTCTCTGAAGTTGCGAAAGGAGCAAAGAAGCATTAAAAGCCTTGAACTTTGAAGTTACTGCTCCCAGAGGTGTGTCTTGAATGGCTGCAGAGCTTTTGGAGCCTCCTGACTTCTTTACATCAGACAAGAACATTCCTTGCTCTCCCCCCTGCTTTTAACACTGCAGAGTTTGGGTAACCTGGTTTGTTTTCAGATACAGGTCTTGGCAATGGTTTTCAGCAAAATTCCCTATTTCAGCCCATTCTGTTCACTCTCAGAAGTGGATTGGACATCCTAAACCATGTATATTGTTTTCCTTCCTTGTTTTAACATTTGATTGTTAACTTACTTGGAACAGACTTGGAAATAACACATTGGAGGAGGAGACGGTTTTCATCCAAGAAATCAGACATCATCTCTGATCCAAACTTGACATCAGTATTTCCTTCTGAAGGGCAATAAATCCTCGCTGTAAGAGGAAGGCAGGCCATGAGAGGTATTGCATATTCAGAATACTCAATCCTGACCCCACGGAAGTCAATCAAGATTCTCCTTGACATGAAGGGGATCAGGATTTAGGCCTGCATTTCTTCCTGCGAAGGTATTGTTAATCTCTCCTTCATGGCCACCAATGTCAAGACTCTCATTAGTTTTGACTTGCAATGTGTCAGAAGGGGAACCAAAGTTGGAGGCATTGAAGGAGCAAAGTCTTCTGCTGACTGGAGGATGAGGAAGCGTTTTCACTGACTCCACTGCATTGCCCCTAGTGCAACAGCATACCTCAGCAGTGTTGACGACCCAGTATGTAAATGTGGAGACTTCCTGAATCATCACATTTCATTTCAGCTCATCAGCAGCAGGAACTTTCCTCACATCCCTAATAAGTTAATTAAATTGCAATGGAGTGCTGAACACAAACTATGAGTAATTTATGTATCTCTGTGTTTAGAGGCTGGAGGAGATTCATAATGCCAGTAGTTATGATATTGCTGAGTCGAAACGAGCCCGGTACAGGGAGGACATCCTTCAGCTCTCTGAAGCACTCATGGGCTTGGAAATACTGATAACTGACCAGCTGGAGGTAAGGCTCAGACACATACCTGAGAGGCCTCACATCCACAGTGTGTGTGGGGGGTCACTTTTCCGTCTCTGCACCCCTCTGTTTAGTAGCTCATTGCACAAAGTGTGGGGCATAGGTCTCCGTCCTACTCCTTTTCTACTCAGAGTTGATCTGGATGAGATTAGGCCCTGGACATCAATACATTGCAATAGATGTCTGTTTCTCAGAGCAGAGCGCAGTACGTCCTTTACATTCATCCAAGCTGATTTCCTAGGCTTTAGAGAAAGGGTCATTCAGTCATTTTATAGGTCTGTGTACAGAAGTGGCTGCCTAGCATGGGGTGTGCATTTGGGATTCTAGAGGTGCAATGCTTTGAAGCTCATCTTTGCTCTGAATAAGATTACACACATTCCTGCTCAGCCTCCTGCATTTGCTTGCATAATAGCTGCCTTTTTCCTCCCCAGACTTCTCCTCAAAAAAGTAGGGCAGGGCTGCTAATGTGCATCTTCCTTTGAAAGAGAAGAAATCTGTCTCGAAATTAGCAGGCAGGAGCAAGCAGCTGCAGCAGGTCACTGCTGTGAATGTGCATGACAGCAAGCAGCTCAAAATGGATTCCTCACTGCAGCAGGATTGTGCCTTTCGGTGTTTTCGCTATTGGTCCTCGTGTATCTGCAGTCACTGATGGAACAGAACTCAGGTGGCTGTATTTGAGCTGTTGTATCAAGGCATTTAAGTGCGACACCTCACAGTCGATTCTGAGAGAGGTACTAGGCAGCAATTTTAATTCCTGAGGACTAAATCAAAAGCTGCACTAAGCCTTGGCATTGGTTCTGCTTCCAATAAGAGGCTCTTCATGGAGACTGTGGCATTGTAGGGTACGGGAATACTGCACTCTCCATGCACTACTTAAGTGAGGGCAAAAAAGGATCAGCTGTCTTGACACCGGCTATGGGAATCATTCAGTCTCCTTCCCTCCCATAACCTGATTGTGATGTTCTGGCCCCAAAGGAGGAGGGAAAATCTTGCAACACGTTCAAAACACTTTAAATGCTTGAGGCAGTTCAGTTTCTGACTGTGCTGGGAACAGCAGTGAGTCCAAATGATAATCAGATGTAGATTCTTCCCAGGCTCCCCAGCTTGCTTTTATGTTTATGCAAGTTCACATGGTAATATCTCCTCTTTTCCCCTCTGTTAAGGAAATACTAGAGGAATTTAAGAGAAACATTGCTGCTGTAGCATCAACATTCACTGAAAACGTGAAAGGGATATATCCTTTGGACAGTTTGTTGGCCTGGACCTCCCAGTGAGGTATGTATATCTCACCTATAGGCTCAGAAATGAGCCATCACTATAGAACTTGGGGGGGTTTGGGTTGTTTGGGGTTTCTTTTAATCAACAGAAAAGGTCTCTTCACGGGAATGGTCATTTCAGGTGCTCAGCTTCTTTCTGTTGAGACCCTGGAGAGCACAAAAGGATCGAAGTTCTCCTGTGTCTGTAGGATTTCTGCAGCTTTCTCCCCCTTGGGAATCTTCCTTTCTTCCCACAGGAGTGACAAAGCCCTGGGAGGATCTGGTTAGGCTGATTCCTATGTACATTCCTGCTATAGCAGCCAGTGAAATACCTGCAGCTCCTGCTGAAGTTTCTTTAAATGGCTTCCATTTTGGGGTTGTTGATGTCTTCTGGAACAAAGTGAGATGAGAATAACAAAGTGCTTCAGTGACAGGTTACACTAAATATAGAGCTCTCTTGGCCTGGTGCGAATAATTGCATCATATTCAGAGCTTAGCTTCTATCCTGGGAGGCCTCTTTCAATTCCCTTTGCAAACTTAGGCCCACTCTCAGTTCTGTGTAATAGATAGCAGCGAGGATGAGACCTAATGTGTGATTAAGAGCACTAAGTGCATATCCTGACATCACAGCAGCTTCTGGCAGCAGCAAGGCCCTTTCCTGCAGAGGTCCACTCTCTAGTTACAGGAGCTCATTTAATCCCTGTAAGTGAATGGTGTGCTCAGCTTTTTCCTTAACCATCTTCTATACGATGAACCAGTGCCGGGACCTGGAAAACCATCACCATGAAAAGCTGCTGGAGATCTCCATCACCACACTGGAGAAATCACTCAAGAATGAGCTCGACGTGGATTTGCCAGCTGCTGTTCAAACGGTGAGGGCACCAAAACAATTCATCTCCACTAGGGAGCTGGCAGGAAGAGGCCACAGCCTCTTCTCTGAAGAGACAGGGTTTCCAGGAGGCTCAGTACTGCTAGAGCCGTGCCTAAGGCAGAGCATCACCTCCTCCAGAGTGGTCCCAGCCCCAGCGCTGCCGGGCATCTCTGCTGCCTGGGATGAAGGATAACTGCACTGCAAGTTTCCCTGGGTGCTGCCAGAGCTGGTGGCAGCAGCCCAAGAGAAGTGCTGAGGGAATCTCTCTCCTGCTTCCAGCACAGCTCACTGCTCTGGCTGATTTCCAGACAGCCCCAACCCAGCAGGCACTTAGGCAGCCTCTCTGCTGCCCTCAGAGCTGGGTTGGTTCAGATTCTCCCTGCTCCCCCAGGAGAATCCAAACACTGCTCTGTTTGCCTTGGTGATTTCAAATCCATCCCCAGAGCTCCCCAGCCCGTGCTTTGGAGGTGGGATGTGACATTTCAAACGGGGCCTTCCACTGAGCCCTCGGTCTTGCTGTGATAGCAAGGAGCCCTTCAGAGAGCGCAAAGATCTCTGCAGTGCTCCAGTCAGCAGCGCTGCTGACCTTTTTGCCTCCACTCTCCCTTCAGTTCGTGGCTAAATGCCTCCAGTTTTGCATTCACTGTGGTTTCCCTCTGTCTAGATTATCCTCCTGTTACTCCAGGTAATCAAGAGCTGACAGACACAAACCAGACCCCTCAGCTCTCAGCCCGGGGTGGAGGGGGGGGAGCTCCCTGCTTTATGACCTGTGCAGATGGCTGCAGTTCCGCACCGTTGCTGTGCACCCATTTTGCCTCACTGCCATCCATTTCCACAGAGAAGCAATCTTCATTTGTTCAGCAGCTGCACTTGGCTGCAGGAGGAGAGTCATTATGGCTTAGTGAAGCCACCCTCCATTTAGAGCCCTGGGGGGAAGTCACTGCTTCCATTAGAAACTGGGACTCTCCAAAAATGAAGATTTATGGCCAATGCCACCAGTCCGAAAGACCTTTCCAAGTGGGATTTTCCACTTCCCACCCCTGCTGGGCCAGGCGTGCTGGAGCATAGGCAGCCTTGCTTCCCCACTAGCTGCCCACAGGGGCCTGCCACGTGCTGCAGCAGAGCATTTGCTGCCTGCTCCAGCACACAAGGTGCTGCCTCAGTTTCCCCACCCACAGTAGGGATAATTCTCCATTACACCCTAGCGAGGCCCACACGCATCCTTGCGAAGGGTAAAGCTCTGCATTCATGCTGATGACTGGGGCTTTGTCTGAGACACAGGGCTCATTTTCCACCCCCTGAGCTGCTAGTTGTGAGCTCTGCTGCTTTCCCTGCGTGCCTGACCCCCTCCTCTCATCCGGTCACGTTACCTCCAGCTTCTGGTGGACAAAAACACCATTGTCAACGCCGTCAACGCATCCCATGGCACCCGCCTGCGGAGCATTGATAAGCGAGAGAGCGACATCCTCAGCAACATCGACCAGTGGCAGAACTCTGTGACAGAGAAGGTAAGAGACCCTCGTGCTCAGGGGGACGGGACACAGGTAGGTCTGGCCCAAATGGCAAGGACACCGGTAGTAAAGATGCTCCCTAACCTTTGCTGGAGCCCTGTGGGTGCTGGGGAGCCTGGCCAGGGATGCTGACAAGCCTGTGGGTTCAATCTGTGCAGGCTTTCCAAAACGAGATCGACAGGAATCGCAACCGGGTCAAAGAGATCATTCTCTTCATTGAGAATCTCCAGGAGGAGTTGGATAGCATCAAGATCCCGGAGCCCACGGAATAGGTCTGCCATGGGTTGAGGGGTTGCTTTAGCTGGGGGCACACAGGACAGCCCCCAACAGCAGCACACACACAGCCAGGGATGCTGCCTGGGACATTTCTTCTTCCACCCCAGCATAAACTGCAAATAAAAGGTACTTCTTGACTCTGGAAAAGCTCTGCCTCTTCCATCACATTGGCGTGAAGCCGTGCAGACAGAGCTCAGACCTGATCACAAGGGCTTATGGGTCAGCTGTGAGCTGTCTGAACCAGCTCATCGCAGCGCATCACGCCTGAAAGCTTTGCTACCTGCAAGCCCAGTGGCAGGAACCTGTGAGCCACAGGCACGTGGCAGCAGCGTGGGAGAGGAGTGCTCTCCATCAAACCACCCCCAAGATAACAGCAGGTTTCCAGCTCAGCAAGCACAAGGCTGCCAGGGGCTCTGCGTGCCTGGGAGCCTCGTCCTCTTCCCCGCCTCTCGCCAAAGCGGCTTTGTGCAGCGTGAACAGAGCAGCCCCCAGCAGCAGGAAGGGGAATCAATGGTTCCAGAGGAGCTCACACGCCGCTGCTCGCAACAGCCAAGCGAGGAGCCATTAATTCCCCTCCTTGCTCCGTGACAGCAGCTGCTGCACTCACTTGTGAGCAGCTTCTGAGCAATGATGCTGGCCGGGGCGGCACCGCTGGAGGCGAGCAGCAAGGAGAAAGGTGGGAAGGTTAAATGAGAGGGTGGCTGCATATGTGCTCTGGGGAAGAGACTGGGTCTCTCTGAAAGCCCCATGGTGCTGTCATACACAGGTTTAGCTCACAGTGTTCTGAAGCCCATGTTCCCCCCCTTCTCTTGCTCCAGGATTGCATAGTTGCCTCCCTGTCACTCTGCAAGGACAGGGCACCTTGCATGGGGAGGCTCACCCAGAGGGAGCAGATCTGTTCGGTAGGGTCTGCTCTGCTCCATGCCTGCAGCCATCCCAGAACCTCCAGCACCACAGCTTGGTCATTAAAACAAAGAACTACTCAGCAGTATTGGCTTTCAGGATCTAGCAGGGAGGTGCCTTTAATCAAAGAGAGAGACCCTGGTGTTACATGCAGGCACGCTGAGGGATGAAGAACAGATGCAATGGAGCCTGTTTTCAGATTCCCATAACAAGTGTGTGTCAGGAGTTGGCAGCTATGAAGACGTGTGGCATATGTTGGGTATGTCTGTGCCGTGCCCTGCCCAGGAAGCTGTTTCCTTCGTGGGAGCTCCTCTGATGCGTTACTGACACCAGCATTGGACAGAGCTGCTGGCCTGGGGATGCAGGGGATGCTCACCTCGACCTTCCCTCCTTGTGGGCTCAAAACTGCTGGTGCTGCACTACGACAGGCAGCCCAAGAGAGGAGCTGCCCACCAAGTCACAGCTCCTCAGCATGAGGCTGATCCCAGGAAAGATGTGACGGCAGGAGGACGATTCCCATCCCTTGGGTCATGCCAGAGATTCAGAGCCAGGCATTTTCCTGCTGTTTCAGCCCAGCAGCCTCAGTCCTGCAGCAGCTTGTGTTTCACAGTCGAGCTCTCCAAACAGAGGTGGACAAAGAGAGTCCCAGCTGCAGCACGGGCACGCAGCTCACACAGGTCATAGTCGTGGGCCCACTCCACATTGCCCCACCGCTGGATCTGAAGGAGAGGAGGAACAAGTCAGCTCAGAACTGGGTTATCCATAAAGCTGCTCAGCAGCTCTCCCTTTTCATGTGTGTGAACCAGGAGCTGTGCTGGTCACTAATAGGGCAGGGAATTCTCCAGAGCAGTGGTGCTGCATCTGTAGTGGAGTCTGAGGCAAAGCCCCTTAAAGGGAGGATGAAAAGATTCCCATCAATTTCAGCCACTTTTGGGTCAGGGAGAGCTTCGTGCCAGGCCAGCTTCCAGCAAGCAAGTTATTAGCTTGGTGTCTGCCAAAGCCTCCAGGCTGGATAACCCAGAGCAAGAGAAGCCAGCCACGACTTTGCACTTCACATTAGAGAGGGAGCAAAGCAGCCATCTGGGCTCTGCAAAAAGAACCTGGCAGCCCCAGGAGCTCTCTGGGCTGCTGTGCCCATGGTGTTGCTTTACAGCAGCACACTCCAAGCTCTCTCAAACGCAGAGAGTGGTGAGGTGGAACCTCTCCTGCAATAGCAAGCACTTCCCTTGCCAGTTATTTGTGGTGGGAGATGCATTTGTCACGCTGAGATTATTGCTATTTGAATGATAGGGCTGCTTTGTAACATGATTTACCTGGTATTCTTCCTCCAGGCGAGAGAGAAGCACGGCTTTCTCTACTGTAATGTGCCTGTCAATCACACCCATGGACAGGATCAGAGATTTCAGCTGGGTGATGATATATTCTATGCCTGGAAGGGAATAACCCAAAACAAACAAGATTCAGGGTTGTTTTCTGCAGTGTTACAGCAGCATCTTCACATGCTCTGATGAGACAGGCAGTGTGGAACCTCCTCAGGGAGGTCACAGGGCTACTGATCCTTGTATCTGGGTACTTCAGTCTCAGATCCACAGTTAACAACAGACACAAAACGCTGTTGTGGCCACTGTCACTGCAGTGACAAAGGTTTTGCCTTGGCAGCTGCCTCCTTTTATTGTGCCACAAAGCTTCCCTGTGCAAAATAACCTCTCTCACCTTGCAGGGCCCACATGTTGTAGGATGCCAGATGGCTGACGAAGGTATCCTTGGTGCTGGCTGGGATGTTTGGCCCCAGGATGCTGGTGGAGGAGCCAATTGCCACGTTGTACCTGGAATGACCACCCAGCTCCTTAAAAAAGCACAGGGCTCACGGATCCTGCGGCTCTGACAGCCACAAGCACCAGAGCTCCTGGCCTAGGCAGGCCAAAAGCAGACAGGAACATCTTTGGCCTCTTCTTACCTTTCCTCAGCCCAGGCAACAATGGGATCCCATTCATTCTTCTGAAGCTCTGCCAAGGCAGGTGGCTCCTCCACACGATAGCTGGGCCATTGCAGAACAGAACCACAATGGGTGTTCATTCACCCCCAGAGCACAGCAAGGGGAATGAAGGCAGTGGCAGCAGTGATTGGGAACAATCCCCCCACTCTTCCCCAAATTCAGAGCATTTTGTTGTTCCAGCAAGCATAATCCTTACTATAAAACAGAGCAGCAAAGCAGCCAACAGGCAGCCTCAAGGCAGGCACAGGATGCAGTGAGGTTTAGTGGTCAGAGCAGGGGATGAATCCCACTGGAACTCTTTATATGGGGCCATGCAGCTCCCAGTGGATATTGCAGAGAGTGGGACTGTGAGACAGAAGCCTGGGCATGGAAGGCTGGATCCTGTGGCCCACTTTAAGGAATGAAGGGCTTTTGGCTGTTGATACAAGTTATGTGAGCTGCCTGAACTGGCACAGGAGTACCAGGGACTGGGCTCACAGATTCCCCCAGGCCTTTCAAAGCTGTTTTCTTTTCCCCAAGGAAATCTTCATTTCCTGCTGCTCCCAGCCTTGCCCAGCATGGAGATGTCCAAAACAGGGTTCAGCAGAGGACCAGATCCCCATTCACATGCATGAACTTCCACTAAGTCTGCAGACATAGAACTGGCCTAAACCCATTCAAACCCTCAGGCCAAACCCCAGACAGGTCAGAGCCCTGCTGTGACTGAGTTACAACAGACATCTTCACTTTCTTCCCCCAACCCCACAGTGCCCAGACATCCTCACCCCTGTGCCCCATCTCGTACCAGACAGTGTCAGTCTCCAGGAACTTCACGGCTGCTCGGATCAGCTGCATTTTGCTCCTCTGTGTGGGGTTGTCCAGCGCTGTGTTACACAGGGTGGTCTGGGGGATAGAGGCCGTTTAAACCACTGTGAGTCACGGCTTGGGGAAGGAGCAGCTTCTATTGTACAAAGCCAAGAAGCAGCAGAGGCGTTAGTGAGGGGTGCAGCTAAAGGGGGGGCGCAGGGCCAGACCTGTGCAATAGGAATCACCTCCCTGGTTTCAGATGCCACAGGAATGGGCCCAGCAAGCACCAGGGAAGGAAGCTCATCCTTTCCTCCTGCCCTCACAGTCCCCGCTAACACTGTCCAGCCCCTTCTCAAGTCCCTCCAGTCATACCCTATAGAGTCACCCAACCAGTGTCAACCCAACCAGTGTCAACCAGTGCCCTGCCAAACTCCTGACATCTTATCCCTGTTTCTATGGGCATTCGGACAACCTGACCTCTCAGTGTTCTGTATTTGGAGACCATTCTCATGTCTGCATGGTCACTCTTGCTCTAGACCAACCTATGCCAACTCCACAGGAAGGCTGGGAAAGGCAGGATACCGAAGGAAGCACTCTCAGAAGATGCTCTGAGAAGATCTCATGCATCCCAGCACACGGCTTACACCCCAAAGTGTTTCAACCCTTGCTCTGGAATCCACTCCATGCACTGGCAAAGCCCTCACCAGGTAGCAGTGGCCTGGCAACCCCATCTTTAACCCCTGGAATTTCAATTCCCTGTCTTTAATCCTGACTTTCTTGATCTGTCTGCTCCCAGCACACTGTGTTCTGTCCTTCCAAGGTCCCAGTATCCCATCTTGCCACGCTCACCAGATGCATGGTGTAGAACTTGATGGTGTCTTTCTGGGAGTCCCACTCTGTTGCCACTGCAATGGCCAAGGCCTCACTGGGCACAGTGAAGAGCTTGGCCTGGGGTGTCTTCAGCTTTCGGTGGTCCAGGTTGATTTCAAAGCCTCCTGGGGAATCAGAGTAGAAATCCTGGGGAATCAAAGAGGAGCAGGCACTAAGGAACAACAGCCAACCCCACAGATTCAGAGCTGGAGCTGATGGGAGCAGAGCACCAGGGATGCGCAAGTGGTGGGAGCACCAACACCATCGTTTGCACATATTGGGTCTTGGAAGTGGCTTCCCACCCCACAGCTTTGCTATGGATGAGGAAAGGGGACAGCAGGATGGTGACAATACCAAACTCACACAGGCTGGGACCAGCCCCTCTGCCCTGTCCCAGTGGCTGAACTCACCTTCTCCTTGAGAGATGCTCACGTTCTGGTAAAACCGCTTCCTTTCTGGGGACAAAACGAGCCTTTTAGGGGCAGTCAAGGGGAGGTTGGTCCCTTCCCCTGCTCCCCACCACAGCCCAGAACAGACAAAGCCCTCAGTGCTGTTTTGGTGGCCTGGCCATGGAATTCCAGCCCATTCATTCACAGCTTCCAAGCACCACAATGAGCTCCACTCATCTGGGAAGTGCCAGGACACTGGTGAGAAGCACAGCGCTGCTGTGCACAACCTGCACGTCAATGGGAGCAGCTTCACTCTGCCTCAGCTCCCTTGGAACCCTGAACACTGCCAGGGATGGGGCAGCCACAGCTTCTCTGGGCACCCTGTGCCAGCGCCTCAGCACCCTCACAGGGAAGAGCTTCTGCCTAAGAGCTCATCTCAGTCTCCGCTCTGGCAGGTTAAAGCCATTCACCTTGGCCTGTCCCTACAGGCCCTTGTCCAAAGCCCCTCTCCAGGTTTCCTGGAGCCCCTTCAGGCACTGGAGCTGCTCTAAGGTCTCCCCTTAAGGAGCCTTCTCTTCTCCAGGCTGACCCAGCCCAGCTCTGAGCCTGCTGTAGCTTCTCCCACTGCAATCAAAGACAAGAAACCCATCAGAGCCGGGTCAGAGGCAGGACAGGGCACAACAACCTCTTCCCACCCCTTGATGACAACAAACACACCCTCAGTGCTTCTCGTTCCCTGCCTTGACCTGCACGCTCCAGCAGTGTCCAGGGGCAGGATGCTGTGAGGACGGTGCCACAGCTGGATGATGCTGGGGACACGTGGACCACACTGTGTCACTGAGTCACCAGGGGAGGAACCCCCTCCGACAGCAGCCTCCAGCCTATACATGCAGCTCCATCCTGCCCCAGCAGCAAGGCGAGCTCTGCCTTAAGAGCTGCTTCATTTCCTACCGGTGCTGTTGCACACATCCAACACCTCAGAGCCAGGTTAAAGCCATCACAAAGGCTCTCACAGCTCACACAAGGCAGGAGGAATCTGCCACGCTGTAAACCCCAAACCAAACGGGCCCTGTGAAGGGTGAAGCAAGAGGCCAGACTGCAGCTCTGTGATTGGAGGCTAAAGAAAGCTCATTCCCGCTGGGAATGGAAGAGGATTTGCTCAGCCTCAGGGCCTCGGGAAGAGCCACAGGATGAAGGCACAGATCAATGCACCCCAGAGGAGACCCCGCAGTGAGTCACAGCGGCTGCAGCCTCACCTCCAACAGAACCAGGCTCATTTTAGTGCCCTCAAACCCACACAGCAAGGTCTGTGCAGGGGACACACGGCCCAGAGTGTCCCTGAAACACCCCCAAACCCCCACCAAACCCCAAACCCAATGTATCAGAGCGGTGCATTGAGGATGTGGCTCCAAACACCCGCTAATGCCAGGCAAAGGGCGCAGGGGGATGCCCATCACCAGGACCACGTTGTCTGAGGTGCTCAGAGGCAAAGGGGAGCCCCAACCCAACAGGGCTGCGCTTCCAGGAGGGATCCTGTGTCCCATTTGGCCCATGGGGCCCTTCCCTGGGCCGGCGGGGCTGGTCTTGCCGGGGATCCCCCCCCCCATGACAGCTCTGAAGGTCACACAGGGATGTGAGGGGGTATACGGAGGTATGGACTATAGGATATGGGGTATGAAGTATGGGATACAGGGTATAGGCGGGGTATGGGGTATGAAGCATGGGATACAGGGTATAGGATATGGGGTATAGGGGAGATATGGGGTATAGGGGGGGTATGGGATATGGGGTATGGGAAAAGAGGTATGAAGTATGGGATACGGGGTATGGCATATGGGGTATAGGGGGGGTATGGGATATGGGGGGGTACAGGATACAGGGTATGGGATATGGAGCATAGGGGGGGTATGAGATATGGGGTACAGAATATGGGGTATGAAGTATGGGATACGAGGTATATGGGGGTATGGGATATGGGGTATGAAGTATGGGATACGGCGTATGGAATACAGGATATGGGGTATGAAGTATGGGATATGGAGTACGGAATATGGGGCATGTGAAACGGAATACGGGATATGGGCTATGGAATATAGGGTATAGGAACAGGGCCCCCCCCCTCCCCTCATGTGCTCCCTCACCTCCCGGCGGGGCATAGGCCCGGCCCCAGCCCGGCCACAGCGTGGCGGTGCCGGGGGCGGCAGGAGGCGGGCGGGGCAGCGGGCAGCGGGCGCGGAGCAGCCGGCGGCAGCGGAGCCACATGGCGGCGGGGAGAAGCGGTGGGGAGCGAGGGGAGGGGGAGGGCACCGGTCCGGTCCGGTCCGGCCAACCAATCGCGAGCCCGCTCAGCACGACATTTCCCAGCGCACCCCGCCCAATGGCAGAGCGAGGAGGCGCTGACGGGAGGCCCCTCAGTGAGGCGGCGGCGGCGGCCTCGGTGTGAGGGGAGCTGAGCCGAGCCCCGGCCTCTCCCCCCCCCCCTCCCCCGTCCTCCTCGGTCCCCACCGGCTCCGGCCACGCTGGCGCCCGGGGACCCCCCCGAGATGCCGGTGAGGAGCGAGCGGTGCCGCGCTGGCGGGGCAGCGGCGGGCTCGGCCTCGTCGTCCTCCTCCGCTTCGCCGCCACCCGGAGCGGCCGCCAGCAGCTTGGTGCCGCCGCCCCCCATCAACACGGCGCAGCCCGGCGTGGCCACCTCGCTGCTGTACAGCGGCGCCAAGTTCCGCGGGCAGCAGCGCAGCAAGGGCAATGCCTACGAGGTGGAGGTCGTCATGCAGGTGAGCGGCACCACCGAGGACGCGGTCTTAGCCCCCCTCCCTTCCTTCACCGGGCCTCGGTCTCCTCAGGCCTGCTCCGTCTGCTGCCGCCGGCCTCCATGCCCTCAGGCCCGGCCCCGGCTCCCTCAGAACGCAGCCGCAGTGGTGTGTCCCGTCCCCGGAGCCTCTCCGAGGCCTGTGGCTGGGACACACACACGCACACACAAACCCGTCTCTGCCCCCATTCCCTGCAGCCACGATGGGGGAACCCTTCCCCTCGGGCCTGGAGAGGCCCATGGCCCTCCCTGTGAGTGTTCTGGTTCTATAAAGCCCAGTGACAGCTCTGAGGGCTGAGGCTCTGCAGGGATCTCTTGTTACATTCTGTGGTCCCCTTTCCTTTTGGGATAAGGGGAAAAGACCCTGTCCTGTTCCCCTCAGGCCCCAGGAGAGGCTCCATTCCCTCAGGGTCACCACTTTGCTCCCTCTCCCTCAAACCCTGAGCAGAGCTCACTGCGCTCAAGCCTTTCCCCTCACCTCTGTGCCCTGTTCCCCTTGGGCCTGGCAAGGTTCCTCCCTTCCCGTTCCCTTCAGGCTGTGGACTGGCCATGAGGGACAGAAGGGTAAGAGCCCAGCTCAGAGTGGGTGGTGTCCTCGGAAGCCCTTCCTCCGGGATGGCCTGTATTTCAGGCCTGGCTGGGAATGACCAGGGAGCCAGGTCCCAGTCCCAGGCTGTGGCAGAGCTGGACCCAGGGTCCTCCATCCCTGTGGTGTCAGAGGCTCCCACAGGGAGCATGAGGTGAGGTGCGGTGGTTTGTCTGTGACAGGAATGCAACCAGACAGCTGTAGCGTGCTGGAGAATGGGTCCCCTGGCTCCCGTGGCCATTCCTCCTGCAGTCATTGTCACCCTGCGTGCTTTATTTTTAGTCCCAGGCCCTGGCAGGCTCGCTTTGGGCAGAGCTGTGAGGTGTGGAGTCATTAATACACAGCCAAACAGGCATCTGAGACATGCTTCTCTACAGAGCACACTGCTCACAGCTTTGTTCCCACTTTGGTGGCACAGAAGCATGTAGCGAGGGCAGTGCTGAAGCCTGACTGTGCGACAGGGAGCCCCAGGGCTAGCAGATGGGGGAGTGTTTGAACCAGCTCCAGCAGCACCGATGTACCTGGCGGAGTTTGCTGCGGTGGGGACATCCTATGGCTGCTCAGCTCCACTGCACGCAGGGGCTGGCAGTGCCTTTGTGCTAAAAATGCTGCTGTTTTCATGTGTGTCAGCTGAGGAGAGGTGGCTGCTGCTGCTCTCCCTGTGCTGAGTGCAGGGAAATGGCACTTTCCACAGCACAGGTGGGGAAGACTCATCTCCTCAGTGCCTGCACTTCCCTAAGTAACTCGCTGCTTGTTCTGAGAATGGAGCTGGAGATGGTGGGAAAAGCTTGGAAAACCCCCTGGTTTTAAAGGTTTGTGGAACCCATGCAGCATCCTAGCCAGTGAGATGGAGCCCAAAGAAGGGTGGCATCAAAGTGTTGGATATGGGAGGAAGGCCTCCGTCAAAGCACATGGGAACTCATCTGGCTTCTGAGCAGGCCTTGGTGTGCACCCTGCTGCCAGGAGAGACAGGGTGCCCAGAGAAGCTGTGGCTGCCCCATCCCTGGCAGTGTTCAAGGCCAGGTTGGACACAAAGCTTGGAGCAACCTGCTCCAGTGGTAGGGGTCCCTGCCTGTGGCAGGGGTTGGAACTGGATGAGCTTTAAGGTCCTTTCCCATCCAAACCATTCTGTGATTCTATGGGAAGTGAGTTAGTGAGGTGTGGGTCAGGCCTGTTAAATAAGCAGAGGGCAAAGTCAGGGCTGTGCTTTCTTGTAGCCTGGATTATCTCCAATAAATAAGATGCTTTTTACTCTTCTCTCACCCAAACACTTGTTTACTGCTGGTGGTTGATGGGGAGATGTGGGGCTAGGGATGTGATTAAGTCAGTGGTGCTTTCACTTGGAGAAAACTGAGTTGGCTTCATCTGGGTGGAAGGGGAAGGTTTGCTTCCTATTGGAGACCTGGGCAGATGCTGCTGCCTCAGTGTGATGGAGCTGGAAGCAGGCAGTGGGATATCAGGGATGTCAGAGGTGAGCTCAGCACCCCTAGATGATCATTCCAAGTGGTTCCCAGCCATGGGGAAGGGCTGCCAGTGTGAGCACTGGGCAGTGAGCTGGACTGAAATTAGCTCTGCAGGGGTCAGAAACTGCTTTGGATCAATTGGGTGCCTTCCTGCCTGTGCTTATGGTTGGACCTTGCACTCTTTTCTAGCATGTGGATATGGAAAACTCCTATCTTTGTGGATACTTGAAGATTAAAGGCCTTACAGAGGTGAGTGTTAAGTGCAAAACAGCAAGAAAAGATGCATGTAAAGGCTTTGCTTGTTCCCAAATGGGGTGGGGGACACTGCCGTTAGAAATAGGAAGTGGAGGGGTTGAGCATGGACTAGATTTCACCACCAAGCAGTTTAACAGCTTCAGACTGTGCTTGGCCTGTAGAGCAAGTACAGTGGGCCTGGATGGGAGTCCTGGGAGTGGGAAGTTCGTCTGGCATCCCATAAGGTTGAGCAGACCAAATCTGACCCTGGGGGCAGCTTTAGGCACTCTACCAGTGGTGCTGTGTGGCTGAAAGAAAAGAAAGGAAGATTGGAACAGTCAGATCTTCACTTATTTCCTTTTCCATCCATCCTCTAAGCTTGCTCATGGTGTGGGACAGTCAGTGAGAGCTGTCTCCCAGGGGTAATGCTTGAAGGAGCTTGCTCACCCCAGCTGAGTGTGCTGTTCCCTGCCTGTGCTCTCTTAATTCAGTGCTTAGACAAAGCTGGAGAGGAGTTTTCCCCCCCTGGGTGGCTTAATCCAGCCCTTGGGCTTTGTAGCAGTCACACAGCAAGGGCTGGGTGTCCTCTGGGGAGCTGGCTGTGATTGTCCTGCTTGGAGACACAGTCCAGCCCTGACACAGCTCCTGCTTTCAGGAAGTGAAAAGAGAGGGGCTGGAATAAGAGGATGGAGGCTTTGTGTGTGTGTGTGTGTGTACCAGACCTGGAGGTGTGAGGCAGGCAGGCCCAGTCAGTGACTGGGGGGGCTGAGAGCTTCAGCCTTGGATAGCTCAGAGCTCCTGCTGGGAGATGTGGCTTCTTGCTGGGTGCCTGTACCCCTGTGTGTGAGTTTCTGGCTCTAGGTGACAAATCTGACCTCTCATCCATCTCTCTTGTCTCCCAGGAATATCCAACCCTCACCACTTTCTTTGAAGGCGAAATAATCAGTAAGAAACACCCTTTCTTAACACGCAAGTGGGATGCTGATGAAGATGTGGATCGGAAACACTGGGTAAATAAACCTGGGGGGAGCAGATGGGGGTTCAGTTCAGCTGCTCTGGAGATGAGGTGCAGTGTGCGCCCATGCCAGAGCTGTCAGGCCTAGAAACATCTTCTTGGGTGTCTCCCTCCTTCCCTCACTGGGATCTTTGCAAGTAGAGGTTCCACCAGCAGGCTGGTGGCTGTGATCCATGACAGGGGATGGGGCATCTTGCTTTCTGCTTGCTGACTGGGGTTGGAAGAGAGCAGCAACAATCCCCCATCCTTTTACCTCCCAACAAGGAGAACATGCTCCTTATTTGAAGGTTTATCACAAAATGGAGTGGAGAAGGTGCCTCCCTAGCACAGGCAGGGCAATTGGTACCTATGTCTTGGCCACCTCAACCCTCTGCTCAGGGCTGGGTGTGCCTGTGCTCTGGATCAAGCAGTTCATTGCCTCCCCACCTTGACCTTTGCTGTTGTTTGCTATACTTTGATATTTATTATGTTTCTGTCAAAATAGCTTCCTCTGGAAGTGTAGGAGCTTCTCCAGCCAGGCTGGATATGGCTGTGGGTATCCAGCAGTCAATCCTCTGTGTTCCCCTGTGCTCATCCTGGGGTGTGTGTTTAGCACAGCTCCAAGGGAAGAGCCCCTTTGGTGAGCAGGTCCTGTTCTGTAATAGCTTTTGCTTCCCAAATAGCAGCTGCTACCAATGAGCTGGAATAAGCATCCTGAATGGTTTCTTCTGTGTTTCAGGGAAAGTTCCAAGCTTTTTACCAGTATGCAAAAACATTTAACTCTGATGACTTTGACTATGAGGATCTGAAAAATGGGGACTATGTCTTCATGAGATGGAAGGTAAACTTCACATGTCTCCTTCTCGAGCTTACAAACGGCAGCAGAGGCTTGTGGTACCTGGAAGCTTTGGCAGCTCTCATGATTTTAATGAAAGGTCTCATCCTTCCAACGTCATAACCCACCACAGCTGCAAATTCCAGCATGACTCCTGTCTAGCCAGCTAATTGCATCCTGAAGGGCTGCAGTCATGGCTCAAAACACAACAGGAAGATCTTGCTTGGTGATGAGAGAATTGGTGTCTGCAGTCCCTGTGTGTGTGACACAGACTGGACAGTCTGCACCTCTCTGTTCTTCACCTGGGTTGATTCTTCCCTCTTTGCATGAGCTTTGTGCAGCTGCAAGGGGAGGAAATGATAGAAACGTGGAGTGGTTTGTGTTGGAAGAGGCTTTTGAAGGTCATTCTGGTACCACTTCCCCACTGGGGGCCATCTTTTCCCTTTGGATTCTTCCAGGGGTAGGGTATCTACCACCTCTCTGGGCAACCTGTGCCAGTGTCTTGCCACCCTCACAGGAAAGGAAGTCTTCCTTATACTTAACATAAATCTACTCTCTTCTAGTTTGAAACTGATACCCCTTCTCCTATCACTAGATGCCCTGGTAAAAAAGTCTCTCCATCTTTCTCCTAAGCCCCTAGAAGGCTGTAAGGTCTCCCCAGAGCTTTCTCTTCATCATCAGCTGGCTCTGATTGCTGACTTTGCAATTGGCTTCTGGTTTGAGCTGAAACTGATCTCATGCCCTCTTGTTATAAGAGCTTCTGTCCTCAGTTGTCTGCTCCCCTGTAGGATGCCTACAGTGGCAGGTGGTGAAAGAACACAGTGGTCTGTGTGTGTTGGGCTGCTGAGGGTGCAGGGAGTGCTCAGACAGAAATGCCTTCATGTTAGCGGGTGCCAATGCTCAGTCTGGGAGGACACATTGAAGGGAGGGGGTTGTATTTGACTGGCATTTTAAACCAGAGTCTGTGTTTTGTATACAGGAGCAGTTCCTAGTCCCAGATCACACCATCAAAGACATCAGCGGTGCTTCCTTTGCTGGTTTCTATTACATCTGCTTCCAGAAGTCAGCAGCATCTATAGAGGGCTATTACTACCATAGGAGTTCAGAATGGTAAGGAAGCTTCCTCCCTGCTGCTCCTCAAACCTAGGAGTGTCCAGGTGGTGCTTCTCTAGCCTGAGAAGGGGGTTTAGCCTGGTGGCTGGACCTCAGGGCAGAAGGGATGGGGTGTGCACCATACTTTTGGCCAGAGCAAGCTCCTGCAGCCCATTTGTGTGGTGAAAAGCGCTGCCCTTTCTGCATGGTGGGGAATAATTGGGCTGGTGAGGTAGAGCAGGGGAGGTACAAGGTCTGGAGGCGTGCTGTGGCTCAGCAAAGCAATGCTCTGGTACACGGGCAGGCAGATACCAGTTATGGATCACTAAAAGCATCCCTTCAGAAGCCTTGTCTCCAGTGCAAGTGCTCACAGGGCCCTCTTGTGAGGGAAGATGAGCACGGGGCTGCCTCATCTCATGGGTGGAGTTGTGCTTCCTCAGCTTGTGCTTTGCTCAGTGATTGAGGCTTTGAGCTTCTCTGTGCCTTGGCCCTTCAGAGGATGTCAGAGGGGCTTTCTGAGAGTGAGCTCAGTGCCTCCTCACATGTAACAGCTTGGCTGTTGCTCCCTTCAGGCAGCAGCCTTGTCAGGCCAGTGTGTTATAGTCCAAGGTCCTTGGGGTGTTGCTGTAAGACAAAGGAACAGTCAAAGTCAGTTGGTGTCTTATTAGAGGCAAGGATCTGACAGTGAGCTGTGGAGAGCTTTTTTCCCTCTGACAGCCTTGAATGTGACACACACAGCAAGTGAATCTGTAGGGTGGCTGAAGCTCTCAGAGGGAGGGAAAGTACCTGGGAGGCTTTCAGACAGATCCCCTCAAGCTGAGCTTTGAAAGACCCGAGTGTGATTTGCAGTCATAGCAAACACCGTTGGAACATGAAAGTTGTTGAACTTCAAAAGGTGTCCAGAGCCCACCTCAAACACAGCCTGCCTGCAGGTAGCTCAGGGAATGGAAACGAGGCATGATGCTCAGGGGTTTGGCACTGTGGGTAAGTGGGTGTTGGGTGCCTGAACACCTCTGAGGCTGTAAAAGGCAAGAGAAAAGCCACCCACCAGGCTGTGTGCCCTGGGGCCTGCCAAGTGCTAGGGGAGCTCTGTTGCTCTATGTAATCCTCTTCGCTCATCTCTTTCCTTCTCTCCCAGGTATCAGTCATTGAATTTAACTCACGTTCCTGAGCACAGTGCTCCTATCTATGAATTCCGATGACAGCTGTCCGGAACTGGTACCACACAGAAGCAAACTGGGCAGGAGAGCATGGCCTGCCAGGAGAACTGTGTCCCTGTCGGAGCACGGGAATGCTTCTCTCCTGCCCCTCGGACTCGCGAGACAGAGCCTGAATGTAAAACTCACCCAGCCCAAGGAGCGTGGCTGCTGGAGCTTGATTCTCCCTCCTGTCGAGTGGCGATTTGATCTTTAATCTGGTTTTTGAGCTACCTTTAAATGCACTTTCTTATTGCACAGTTAGTTTCTCTATCACTGAAGTTCTTCCCGGCTCTCCTTTGGAAGCTGTTTCCTCAGTAGCTGGAATCAGTGGTTTGCCCTCTGAGTAATAAGAAAACACAAGCTGGGTGCTTTCTATTTTCATTCTTCCAGCCTCAAGATGGGTTGAAATCGCCAGGACTCAGGTTTGTTGCCCAGATTGCTGCTCCCACAGCCGGGTCCTGTGTGCCTGGGGGGGGCTCTGCTCGCCTGCAGTGTGTTGGGGGAGCATTGGCTGAGGCAGATAAGGCTGGAATGAGTCTTTGCTTTGTGCTGGCTGAGGAGGTTAGCCAGAGCTGCAGATCTTTCAGGAATGCCAGCCCTTTGGAGCTGGGAGCTCTTCCAGTGTCTGGATAAGCCACTGGGAATTAATTTGATGTATGGACTTCCAGGCTCTCAGTAAAGTGGATCTGAACTCTTGCTTATAGGTGTATATTTGCTCTTTACTTAAGTTAAGGGTAAAAGACAAAAAACAACAAAAAAAAAAAGAGACTTTTATTAAATATATATATATTTTTATGGCTCCTTTTCCAAAGGACCCCAATGCACAAGTACTCAATGGCATTTTACAGTTTTCACATTGAAAACCAGGAATGTTTTGTGTTAGTTTTCCAGACGTGTCTGTAATCAGCCGCCTGCTTCCGAGCAGCACCATAGGAACAGGGCAGCATTTGCACTCACTCCTTGTGCTTCCCCACCGCTGCTTGATACCTTTTTATGGGGCTAAAAAAAAACAAGGAAAGGCAAAAAATACCCCAACAAAACCCATCCCCAAGTAGCTCTCCTCTGACTTGGAATGTTTCAAGTGGTAACTTAAGGCTCCTGTGCCAAAGTGTGTGTGTGTGTGATGCGCGTGTGGTTTGGTTTCTTAAAGACATTTTAACACTCGGCCTCGGTTGTATGTTTTATGTGACTGTCCCACCCCTGTGGGGCTTGTATGAAGGTTTAGTTTGAGCTTTTCTGGCTGGTTTTGAAGCATGAACCCCTCTGAACAGGTTTGTGTTGGGAGTTAGCCGGGGGGGTGCTGAGGAAGTGAAGCCTCCCTGTGCCTAGCACCAAGGTGGTTTGGGTTTTCTTCTTTTGAGCTGCCCTTGCTTCCTTTAGTTTATTGCAGCAGCTCAATTGCTAGTTTAAGCCTTAAAGAGAAAGTATTCAGGTCTTGGAGAGCATGTTTCCTTTATTCCAAGTTGGGGTCTTGTGTGATTTGGGAAGTGGCTGAGCTGGGCTTGGGAAGTGAAGCAGGGATCGCCTGCTTTGAGTGTGCTGTTCACTGCGGATGAATCCTATAGCCCAGCACAAGTGGGGAGAGACCTGCTTTTGGGAGAAGGGGGGACCTGGCCCTTCCATGGGGCAGGAGCCCCCCATGCCATGAGGGAAGCATGTGCATTGTCTTGGCTGTTGCAGGTGGCTTTGGAGAGTAGGGGGAAGTGGGAGAGCGATTCGAGGCATGAAGGGAGAGCGGCTGGGAGCAGAGCAGTTGGGAAGCACGTTCCTGTTTTATCCTGCTCAAAGAAACTCATCCCTTTAGCAATGGGGAGAGGGGTTTCCTCATGGATGGTGCTGGGTTTAGAGGCAGAAGCCTCAGTGGTGCTCTGCTGTGACCAAGCATGGGGTGAAGCCTCCTCCTAGGTGCTGTTTGGGCACAGGGACACAGCTCCAGAGGCTCTTTACAGCCCTCCAGAGCTCTCTGTGCCATGCTGGTTGGTGACACCAACCTCCTTGTGCTTCCCAGGGTGTGACACTTGGGTTTCTGCTGTGGTTGAGTTAACGCTGGTTGTTGGCAGGAGCTGGGTTAGGAAGGGTCCTGGGGTTGTTTAAGATGTCCAAGTACCCCAAAACCTCTGAAGGGTTTTCTTTGAGGCTTGGTATGTTCCAAGGGTGGGGAAGGAGCATCCCGCTCTGTGCTGTCTCCTTCCCACCATCCTGAAGCCAACACTTGGGGTGATGCTGACTTGTGTGGTAGGCACAGAGAAGGTTGCAGAGCTGAGGAAGCTGTTGGTGCTCAGAGCTTCCCCCCCCCCATAAACCTTCATTTTGGTTTTCCTTTTGCCTTGTTTGAGCTCAGGAGAGGGGTTCTGTATGTCCCGGTGTGGGGAGAGAGAACCGGTGTGGGCTTTGGGGGTCAGAGATGGGGTGTTTGGTGTGGGGAGAGGTTGTGATGTCTCTATAAGGTGTTACAGGAGGCGTTTTGCAGAGCGATCAACATCCAAATTAAACATGAACTGTATTCAAGGGCTCCGTGTCCATGCGTGTTTGTCAACCAAAGCACTTCTCGTTCCAGCAGAGAGCTGTGCTTCCTTCCTCTCCCCATGGGATTTCTCCAGGAATCCAGTTATGGAATCCCAGACTGCTTTGGGTTGGAAAACACCTTAAAGCTCACCTAATTCCAACCCCTTGCCATGGGCAGGGACACCTTCTACTAAAGCAGCTTGCTCTGACTTGGTGTTGAGCACTGCCAGCATGGGGCTGACTGCTTTAAACGCAGGGTTTGGCCTTCATTAATGGAGCGGGGCGGGGTGGGGAAGCTCCCTCTGCATCCTGCCTCCTTCCTTAGCGCTCTAATCCCTATCCATTAACTTCCATCCTTCCCCCCCCCCCCCCCGTTATCCCGGGATCCCCCCCCCCAACCCGTGTCCCGCTGGGTACCAACACCCGGAACCCACAACGCGCGGCGCAGGGGGAGCAGCCGGAGCGGCGCGGCGGGAGCACAGCTCCGCCCGCCCAGGGCCTGCCTCAACCCGGACGTGGAACGGGGCCCGGCGGCAGTTCCGGAGCGCGGCGTGAGGGCCCCGCCATGGGCATCCTCGAGAAGATCTCGGAGATCGAGAAGGAGATCGCCCGCACGCAGAAGAACAAAGGTGCGGGGTCGGGGTTAGGGGGGGTGCATGGGGGGGAACGGGGGTTCTGTTCCCCCGCCGTTAGGCCCCGATGTTAATGACCCCCCCCATGTTAATGATCCCCGGTATTACGGTGGCTCTGCTCGGGGTTGGGGCGAGGAGACCAAGTGATGCTGGTGCAAAAGGGTCCGGGGAACGGGGAGCAGAGCTCCCCTTGGGGTCTGTGGGAGTGGGTGCCCTGAGCCCCGCTGCTGTGGGGAATGAGGGAATGAAGCTGTGAAGTGCTGGTGTTTGTGCCCTTCTCTGTGACAAAAGGGCTCTGCCTCCTCTTCGTCTGGGCCGGCTGGGAATGAGAAGTGTTCCCCTGGAATCACAGCCTGGGGTTGGGTGGGAAGGGACCTAAAGCTCATCCAGCTCCAAGCGGGGACACCTCCCACTGGTGGTAGCTTGCTCCAAGCCCCTGTGTCCAACCTGGCCTTGAACACTGCCAGGGATGGGGCAGCCACAGCTTCTCTGGGCACCCTGTGCCAGCGCCTCAGCACCCTCATAGTAAAGAGCTTCCTGCTAATACCTAACCTAAATCTATCGGGTTTTGCCAAGAATAAGCCCATAAAATAACTTCCACACGGGAGCTCCAAGTTAAATGTCTTTAAAAGTGGACAAAAGCAGGGAAAAAAGAAATCTTACATCTTTATAATGTTAAATGTGGCTGGGGTAAGGGGGGGTCTTTGCCCTGGAGCAACCATTCCCCCTGTGTTCTCTCTGTTTAACTGGCTCCCTTCACTGTTCATTCCTGCCCCTGCTCTCTCTCTGGCTCCCTTCTTTTACTAAGGAGCGTTTTGGCTGCTTATTCCCCCTGTCCCCTGACTTTATGGGCAGGTTACCAAAGCTTAGCTCCCAATGCCCAGTGTTTCAGATGCTACAGAGCAGCTCCTGTGCTCTGCAGCGCTTAAGACCTTGACCAAGAACCGCAGCGTTGTTTGTTAGGAGGGGTCTGGCAGTGAATTACCACCCGCTTGTGTTAACTGGGTGTTGTGTTCCTGTTCTTCCAGCCACCGAGTATCACCTTGGGCTGCTGAAGGCGAAGCTTGCAAAGTACAGAGCTCAGCTGCTGGAGCCATCCAAATCCTCGGCTGCGAAAGGAGAAGGCTTCGATGTGATGAAATCCGGAGATGCCCGCGTGGCACTGATCGGTTTTCCTTCCGTGGGTAAGGTCAGTGAGAGCCTCTGCATTCCCAGCTTGGGATAGCGGTGTCTGAAGCAGAAACCCCTCAGCTCTTCGTCTCTCACTTCCCTGCCAGGAGTTAACAGGAGGTGGTTGTATGCTGAGAGCTGAAGGTTAGGGGGAGGGAAAACCAGCCTTCCTCTTGTGCCCTCTGGCAACAGCCTGAAGCTTGGTCTTGCCCAGCCACAGCATTGCAGAGAAAAAAGGTGGGAGCGTGGGATTTATCATGGAATCATAGAATCCCAGACTGGTTTGGGTTGGAAAGGACCTTAAAGCTCATCTAGCCCCAACCCCTGCCACAGGGAGGGACACCTTCCACTAGGGCAAGTTGCTCCAAGCCCCTGTGTCCAACCTGACCTTGAGCACTGCCAGGGATGGGGCAGCCACAGCTTCTCTGGGCATCCTGTGCCAGCGCCTCAGCACCCTCATAGTAAAGAGCTTCTTCCTTATCTCCAACCTGAACTTCCCCTGTTTCAGTTTGAACCCATCTCCCCTTGTCCTATTGCTCCAGTCCCTGATGATTTACCATCATTCAGGAAAGCATTGTCTGTCCCATCACCACGTTAATCCTTGTGCCTCGAGCAGCCAGAACCCAGCTCCTAAGAGCCGAGGGACCCTTTGGTGTTGCTTGTTCTGCTTTCACCGGTGTCCCTTCAGTGATGCTCATCTCCTGCCTTTCAGTCCACGTTCTTGAGCTTAATGACCTCAACCGCCAGCGAAGCTGCCTCTTACGAGTTCACAACCCTGACGTGCATCCCAGGAGTCATAGAAGTGAGTAGGATTCTCCTCCTTTCCACGTAGTAGTAGCAGCAAGAACCCCAGCCACGCTGATGCGTCTGTTTGCACCAGTTAACGCTCGTGCTGCCGCTAAGAAGCAGTGATAGCCAAAGGGCTCTGCTGGCTTCTGCTTTCACCTCTAGGATGTCGTGAGTGCTCACAGGTCTTGTGCAACCTGCAGTGCTGATTTTTAGCACTTCCCTCCCAGCGTTGGCTGGCTGAGTGGGGCTTCCTCCGCTGCTGTTGGACTGACCAGAGCAACGCGACGGTTCTCAGCTGAGTTTTTAATACCCGCTATTGGCAGCATTGACCAGATGGCTGCAAACCTTGACAGATTTGTTTTTAATGAAGCTTTAAAAGAGGCAATCTGTACTGTGATCAATTTTGGAAGGAAAAACACAGCTCCTCCTGTCCTTGAGGAGTTTTATTAGCGGTGGGCTAAGCATCCGTCAGCAAAGCAAACGACAAAGGGCATCAAACTGAAAAGCGTTCAAGAGGAATGAGAAAAGCAGGGTCTGCATTGCAAAGCAGAGTTAAATAATGAAAGCAACTGTATTGGTGTGAACCCAAACACTAATATTGTGACACATCCACATGCAGTTGCTAAGAGGGCTTTGCTGCAGTAACAGCATGGGAGCTGATGCCCCCACAGATCTGGTGATGAATGAAAGCCTCCCATTGCTTCCTGCTGCTGTAAGACCTGCAACACATCCAACTAACTCTGAGCTGTCTCTGAGACGTGGTGGCCCTTGCTTGTTCCTGTGCTTCCTCATTAGACCAAGAGGAAGGGGTCTCTCCCCTCTCCCTGGTGCTTTGTCCAGCCGCAGTGCTGCGGTGCTTTAGGAGCTGAGGACCTGGTGTGCTGCACACAGCTTCATAGGAAACACTCTGGAGGTGGCTTTGCCAAAACAGAGCTGTCAGCACTATGCAGGGCTGTCCTGCTCTGTCAGGCTCATTCAGCTCCGCTCTCCGCAGGCTTTGCACCACGTATTTGGGGCTTTTGAGGCAGCACAGGTGCCCTGTCCGAGGCTTTCAACTTCCCACCCTTCTGTTTCCTTTCCAGTACAAAGGAGCCAACATTCAGCTGCTGGATCTGCCTGGCATCATCGAAGGAGCAGCGCAAGGTTGGATCAATGTGTTCATGTCAAGCAGGGCTTTGCCCTCAGCTGCGTACCTGCAGTGCCTCACACATTAGCAGGTTTCCTGGGCCAATGGTTTTCCACGTTGGTTTTCCACATTTGAAGAGTCCTTGATCTTATGTGAAGCACGATTTTTATCCCAGAGCCCACGTACGGTTCTATATGTAGCAGAAAGCTGCTTTTCTGGAGGTGGGAGCCAAAGCAAGGCAGGCTCTTCTCACCTTCCTGTGTGAGTGTTATCTTGCTCATCTGTTTTGTGGTGCAGAGGAAGTCTAAAGAAAGATGCTGGAGAGGCGGAGGGGGAAATTACAGCTACACAGTAACCCCTTTTGACTGAGAACCTGCCAGTCCTCCCATGACTCCTGATTATGGGAGGGGGTGCTGGCTTTGTCATTGTCCCCACATTGCCTGTGTCAGAAGATGCTGTAGGGAGCTGAGGATAATCTCCCATTGGTCTCTTCTTGGAGGAGCATGGCCTGGTTAATAAGGTCTCTCTCTTTTTGGACCAGAAAATACATTGAACCCTTCTGCACCGGGACCCTAGGCCCGTATCTGAAGCTGCTGCCATAGCATGTGTGTGGGGATGTGTGTCCTGCTGTCACAGATGTCATTTCCACCCATGCAGCTGTACTCCCAATAGCTCTGCACACACTGATTCCTGTATCCTGTGGCAGAGCAGCAGTAAAGGGTATTTGTTAGGGTTTGTGCTGGACATAATACAGCATGGATGGACCAGATAAGAGTCCCTCGGGGCCCTCCAGCAGCCTTACTTCCAAGCAGCAGCCCTCCTCTGACACGGACCTCGGAGCTGGTTTTCCTTGCTGATGTGGCCATCTCCTCTCTTCTCAGGGAAGGGCAGAGGCCGGCAGGTGATAGCTGTGGCCAGGACAGCAGATGTGGTTATTATGATGCTGGATGCCACGAAGGGTGAGGTACAGAGGTGAGTATGTGCTGCTGGGCTGCAGAGCTATGGGGTGGCCAGGTTCAGGGGCTCCCATGTCCCCAGGGGTTTGAACACACCAGCTCCCTCAAGTGTTGTGCTCCCAGCATGTTGGGGAGCCAGTATTAAAGCTATTGAGTACAAGCTGGAGGTTGTACTCTGTTAGAAGTGTGCTAGCAAACTGGCTTGGGCTCCTGAGCTGGATTGTTCCCTATGGATGGCTGTTTGGAGATGGGGGTGTCAACCTTGATTTCCACCACACACTGTCCTGTATTAGCTGTGGGTGTAGTGAAAGGCTGTATGAATGGGAGAGTCAAACAGGGAAGGGATGGATGTCCCCTGACCGTGCTCACTCTCACAGGTACTAATGTGCAGTGTCCCTGCAGGGCCTTGCTGGAGAAAGAACTGGAGTCTGTAGGAATCCGGCTGAACAAAAGCAAACCAAATATCTACTTCAAGGTGAGGATTCCTGGGCTGCTGCAAGCACAGATGTGTCTGGCTGCCTGTTCAGGGCTGAGATCCCTGTGTGCTGCCCCTTGTGTTGGACAGACTGAAGGAGGGTTGTGGATTTTGCACTGTTCTTAAGCCTCTTTGTTGCCTCCCTGCAGCCGAAGAAGGGTGGAGGCATCTCCTTCAACTCAACTGTCACGTTGACTCAGTGCTCTGAGAAGCTGGTGCAGCTCATCCTCCATGAATACAGTATCCTTTCCTAACACAGGAGACCCCTAAGCCATCAGCATCGAGTGGGACCCACAGTGGGACAGCCTTGCAGTGCCTTTGGTGCTTGCTGGGTTGGCAGCCAGCATAGACAAGCCAGCTCAGGCTGCTGGCTCCCAGTAATGTGTGGATGTGTTGGGGTTTGGGCCTTGACAATGTTCACCTCAGAAATCTTCAACGCTGAGGTCCTGTTCAGGGAGGATTGCTCTCCTGATGAGTTCATTGATGTGATCGTAGGCAACAGGGTCTACATGCCGTGCCTCTACGTGAGTATCTCGGGAGCAGCCTCCACCCAGCATCACCTCCAGCCTGTGCTGAAGCAGACACTGGATCTTCCTGGTTCCTAAAGCAGTAACGATTTGGGGGTTAAGAAGTGGAAAACGGCTCCACAGGGAGCTTTTCATCAGCTTGCCATGGGTGGCTGTGCTCTGTGTGTGTTCTCTGTGCCCTCTTGTGGCTGCCTGCTGTGGAGCAGCATGAGGAGCTGCCTGTCCTGGTGCCATGGGGTTTGTTCCTATGGCACAGAGCCTTCCTGTGCTGCAAAGCGCTGTGCTTGGGGTTTCGCTACAGGTCCCATGTGCCAGAGGTCACGTAATGGCTCTGGTAGCAACTGGGTCTATAGTGAAACCAAAGGTACTGGAGAACACGTTGCAAATCATCCCAAAGGATGAACTTTAAAAGGGCCAAACTTAACATTTAAGCTTCTGGATTTTAGCAGTTTGCTTTGCGAAGAGCCTTGGCCTCTGCCCTGGCTCGCAGGAGCTGAGTTTCCATTTCAGATGCTGCAAATACCCTGCGTGTACCTGCCTTACCATGCATGATACCTGCAGGTACATGCCTTACTTCCTTGCAGTGTTGCTGAGTTGACTTCCTAAGGGGTGTGTTGTTTCTTCTTTCACTTAGGTTTATAACAAGATTGACCAGATATCAATGGAGGAGGTGGATCGTCTTGCTCGGCGGCCCCACAGTGTTGTCATCAGGTAGGAGCCTGTGACACTGGTGTCCTGGCCCAGATGGTGTGCTGCTTCATTCCATAGCCCTTTCTCCAGCTTTTCCCAAGGAAGGGCTTTTTCCAGGCTTCCTTTCCCTGCAGAGGCAGGCTGCTTGGCTTCTCCACACTGTCTGCAGGCCAGAGTAAGCCAATCTAAGCTGGTTTAGAAGTGCTGCTATATCTGGCTGGGGCTTTGGTGCTCCAGAGCTCCTCACCCTTCTGAAAGCTCTATTTAGTTACTTCACCTGGGGCTTTTTCCTTTAGTGGCCTCTTTAAAGACTTTCCCCTTTGTCCCCTAACCCTCAGTGAGATGCTTCACCTTGTTCTCCTGGAGCTCTAAATCACACCAGCAATAAACACTGAGATGTTCCTGGTGTTTTGCAGCTGTGGCATGAAACTGAACCTGGATTACTTGCTGGAGAAGCTCTGGGAATACCTGGCACTTACCTGCATCTACACCAAGAAACGAGGACGTAAGTGGCCATCAGCTGAACAGGTTTGAAAGGCACAAAGGGTCAGTGCTCAGACAGGCTGCTGGTGGGTGCCAGGCTGTCAGCGAGCTCGTGTGTCTTGGGAATGGTGCAGTTATGCTCTCCCTAAGCAGCTTTCAGCTCTTGGGAGATGCTTTCTCTTCCACCTGATCCTATCTCTCTGCACTAAGAGCTGAACTCAAACAGGGGAAGGTCAGGTTGGATATAAGGAAGAAGTTCTTTGCTGTGAGAGTGGTCAGGCACTGGTACAGGGTACCCAAAGAAGTGGTGAGTGCTCCATCCCTGGCAGGGTTCAAGGCCAGGCTGGACACATCCTTGGGTGACATGGTCTAAATGTGAGGCATCCCTCTCCATAGCAGGGGGTTAGAACTGGATGATCTTAAGGTCCTTTCCAACCCAAACCATTCTGTGATGACACAAAGAAGTAAAGTGTACAAGCTCGCTGCTTTCTTCCTTATTACTTGTGAGTGCTGGGGTGTCTGCAGAACAGATTTGATGCTTTCAATGCCTGTTTGTCTGGGCAAGTGTAACAGGAGGAGGAATTTGGGAGTAGTAAGCACAAGGCAAGGTGAGGTTGTGTCAGCATATTAGAACACACTTGATGGAAATCAAATGCTTTTTGTTCCCTCCCTCTCCTGCTTCTCCACAGAGAGACCAGACTTTACAGATGCCATTATTCTCCGGAAAGGGGCCTCTGTGGAGCATGTGGTAATTTCTCTGCATCTTTTATGTGTCCTTGTCTGTAGAAGGCAGCTTCCTCTTGGAGCCTGCTCTGATTTGTGCTTCATAAAGCTCAGGATGTGTCAGTGTTAACCTGGGCTTCTCCTTTTGTTACCTTTCCTAGCTGCTAGGAAAGGCTGAAAAAGATAACAATGCAGTCCAGTGAAGAAGCACATGGGAGCAGTGGAACTGGGGCTGTTTGGGGGCTGGTGATTCCTGTATGTCTCTTCTGTATTCTTCTAAGTGCCATTAACTGGCTCCTAAAGTCACTGTTGTCATTTCTGCCATAGAGTTGAGTTGGTTTTCGTTCCTGAGTATCGAGTAGGTTGTTTGTAAAGGCCAAGTAGTGTCATTGAACTGCCTCACATGGTGTCTCTCTTGCAGTGCCATCGGATCCACAGGTCATTAGCCAGCCAGTTCAAATATGCCTTGGTGTGGGTAAGTGCTTAGCAGCAAATGACATCCACGTGCTCTGCTGTCTCTGGTCTCCTCTTAACCTTCTTCCCTTTTTGCTTTGAAGGGAACAAGCACAAAATACAGCCCTCAAAGAGTGGGCTTAACCCATATGATGGAGCACGAAGACGTCATTCAGATCGTAAAGAAGTAACTCATGGTTGGTGCCTGGCCTCGTCTTTGATCACTACAATTGGAACTGACCACATAAAAGCAAAAGCAACCAAGCAAAACAAGAAATAAACAAAAAAGAGAAAGAAAAAGGAAAGGGGAGACGTGTTCCACAGCCAAGAGGGCTTCTGTGAAGCTCCTTCTCTTGGAGAAAGGCAAAAGCTGAGGCTACTCTACTGTACACGCAGGTGGGGATGGGGAAGAGGAGGTTCCATCAGGTGAAGTGTTGTCTCCTAGAAACAAGAGCCACTTCTTCTAGGACACAGTTCCCACAGGTAGGGGTGTCCTGCTCCTAGCAGAGGCAGGGTTTGCACATGGATCCATGTGGCTGGCTTAACCGGTGGGTTTGTGAGAACAGATCTGGCCCTGTGCTTTGGGACAGGGAAGCCAGGGCTGAGGGATCATTGCTGATGCTTTGCTGCTTATCCATTCACATAAGTTAAGCATTGATCTGAAACGAAAACCAAGTTCTCCCTCCCCTGCCCACTGGAATCATGGTCTCTGCAGCATTCACCATTGGAGACTTTGGTCTCTGCATCTGGGACAACCCCTGGTGAACGTATCATGGTCCCACCCGAGTTAACACAAGAACGTGGCTCTCTGTGCCTCTCCTTAGCTCTGCAGCAGTAGGGTTTGTAGGACCCCCTGCTCCAGCTGGTACTGAGAGAGATGAGGAATGGAGCTTTGCTAATGAATTAACCTGGACAAACTGCAGCAGGGTACGATCAAAGAGCCATGGTCTGCAGTGAGGAATCACTTGGGGCTTATTGCTCATTGAGGAGCTCCTTTGCTCATCCTGCCCATTGGTCCTCAGGAGTCCTGCAGGGGATCTCCTCTTTTCTCAGTCATGCCCCTCAATTCCAGTAACAGTTCTATGAGCTCCAAGTACCACCCCATGCCATGGGTTTCACCCCAGCCCTGTAACCAATGTTGCTTGTCTGGCTGTTTTCCATCAGAAATCCAGGCTTTTTCTAATCCTGCTTTTTTCCTTTCAATACTGATGCTAAACAATTGAGAGTGCCTGATAGAGAACAGCTCTTTCCTTCTGGATCAAGAGTTGCCAATAGCTTTTATTTTCTTTCATGGGGGAAAAAAGGTGGTTTGGGGTGATGTGGATCCTTAACTGCGAGGACAGGTCTGATGGCAAACTTGTCTAAGCAGGGCTCCTTTCCTCTCCTGTGTGCTCCTCCCCATCCCTCACCCACTGATTGAGCAGAAATGGAAGGATTATTTTACTTGAGGAAATAAAAGTTGCTATTTCATGTGAACTGTGGGTGTCTGCCTGCAGTGGGCAGATGGCTTTGGGGTGCTTTCTACCTCTCTGCTTTACCTTTGGGCACCTGAGGAGTGCTGGATGCTGCTGCAGGAGGTTGTAGCAGGGAATGGGTTGTGAGGCTGGAGGGCACTCGATGAGTGATGGAGATAGCTTAGGTATTGTGTGTAATACCTATTTAAGAAGGTGACTTTGAACTCTGTGAGCTCCCTTCCCTGTTCCTGCCTTTGTTCACAGCTGGAATGCAAGAGCAAATCCAGGCCACGAAGGCAGCAAGTGGAGAATGAGCTCCAAATCAGCCACATCCCCCCTGAGCTGGCTGTGGAAAGCAGGAGCTTCTCCATGTCAGTCGGGTGGGATGCTGTTCCAATTCACTTGCCCTTTACATTTCCCATCGAGGTTGCACAGAGTTACCCACACAAAGACTTCTTTTGGTTCCATTGTGTCCCTGAGTTTCTGGCTTTTCAATCCAAGCTCTGGCACAGCAGTGGGCTCCATCCTTAGGCCGGGCAGTGTGTGGAGTTGGGAAGATACCTGGTGCTTGTGTGAGGCTGAAATGCTCAGCATTACCTGCTGGAACGTGTCCTTGGTTGGTTAGTGCCTGCCTCTCCATGTGTCTGGGTGTCAGAATGACTAATCCACCATTAAAAACCCTCTGTCTAATTACTTTTCCTTTGGGAAATTGGGTGTTTTATCCCGTTCCAGATGAACTCCTGGTAGGTGATTAAATTTGGAATGGGGATGAAGTAAAAATAGCAGAGGCAGAAGAAGATAACTTCTTTTTTTAGTGAGAGTAGCTCCTTGCAAGCCAGTTTATGGCTGTATTTGAAGATGCATTTAATTGCAGCCTTCACTTTTCCAGACGGCTTCCCTAATTGGTCTGCACTGACGTTAAAAGCTGCCAACATTGCAGTCGGGTGCAGGTTTGGCTGATGATGCTTCTGAATCCTCAGAAAGCAAGATCCAAAGGGCAAGGCGGGGGGGGGAATCTGCAGCATTAGGATTGTTCTGGAGGTTTATGGGATGGGATGGACCCTTCTCTAGCTTTGAGGGATGCTCAGAGCATCCTTGCTGAGTGGGTTTGGAGAAAGGCTCTGGTGGGAGGATGTGGGGTGGTTGAGTAGAATAGAATGGTTTGGGTTGGAAGGGACCTTAAAGCTCACCCAGCTCCAACCCCTGCCACGGGCAGGGACACCTTCCACTGGAGCAGCTTGCACCAACCTGGCCTTGAACACTTCCAGGGATGGGGCAGCTGCAGCTTCTCCGGGAACCCTGTGCCAGCGCCTCAGCACCCTCACAGGGAAGAGCTTCTGCCTTATATCCAACCTAAATCTCCCTGTTTTAAGTTTGCCCCCATAGAGCAGCATCTGCCTTTTCCCTGCTTTATGAGCTTGGGTGATGCTCTGCGAGCATCACCCCATAGAGCAGTCTGCCCCGTAGAGCAATCTGCGCTTAACCATTCCCTGCTCTTTACTCCACTTCCCTCAGTGCCATACCCTGCTCCCTGCATGGATCCTGCCCTGTAGCTGGAGCACGCCGTGCATCACCGCTGGGCATCACTCCAGGTGGGAAGCGGGGCGAATCAGCTCTGACACAGCCCATCAGCCACCCTCCATCTACCCCGGAATCAGCGCCAGCCCGAGGCGTGCTCTGTTTCGAGCGCCTGTTCCAGGCAATCGAGCAGCTTGGATTGGCTGAACGCTCCCTTTTAGAGCATAATTTAGTCAGGAATCGCTTTGCAAGGTAATAAAAAGAGCCTCTGCCTCCAAATCCATTCATTTAATTCAATGAGAGACACTTAGTGCAGGCGGGCTCGCCTCAGCCCCATCACTGCTGCCATCCTCAAGTGCTGCTCAGGGCTGTAGATAAGAGGCACGCTCCGCTGTGACAGCTTAATTGTTTCAGATGCTGACAAGGGTCACCCCGAGCAGCCATCGGGAGGCTGCCGAGAGGAGGATTTATGGCTGGCAAATAGGTTTGAATTCCTCTGGTTGCAGCCTGCTCAGTGATGGAGCTGCCCCGTGGGGATTGGGGCTATTGATTGTAATTTGCAGTTAAGGCCTCGCTTTCTGAGGAATCAGCATAATAAATACCCACCGCATTCCAGCAGGGATGTGTCTGTGTGGAGGAGGAGGGAGCCTGCAGCAGGATGCTGTCCCTGCTTTTGGAGAAGGAGAAAGGGCTCTTTTCGCTGCTGGGTGTATGGTTTCTAGTTTGGTGTGATGCAGGGAGCTGGTGTCAGAGCTTTGAGGCACTGGGATGCTTTGTGAAGCAGGCAGAGATGCCCTGCTCATCCCGATGGTACTGTTGGGATGATGGGTGTCTAGATCCCTTCTCCAGCCCTACTATGGAGAAGGATGTGAAGGGTATGTGTGTGTGTGTCCATCCCTGTATCCCTGTGATGCCTTCTCCTAAGCTCACGTTGCTCTGGGGCCATTTGTTCGCATCTGGGCTCGATGACAGAGGTGGCACAGGTCTACATCCCAGAGGGAAGGGGTTTTGGGGCTGTCACTGGTAAGCAGGAAGAGATGGATGGGAACACAGGAGGATCAGAGCTGCTGCTCCCGGCCTTGCAGAGGGAAAGATCAGCTCCGGTCCCTACGCTCATGAGCGGCGATGTGAACAATAGCGCTCATCAAATATGCATTGGGTGTCAGCGCCTGCAGCAAGCGCGGTCCTGCGGCTGCCGCGGAGCCGCGGTCCCTGATGGGGAGCGAAGCCAAGAGCACGACCAGCGCCATGCGGGTGCCTTAGGCTGCCCCAGGTGAGTGCCTGCGGGTCCCCTATGGGGTGATGCATCCCTTGGCATCACAGGTCCTGCCGTGGCTCGGCCTTTGTGTGTGATGTTGGTCCTCCTGTGAATGCAGCGCTGTGGGGCTCGGATCCCCTGGTCAGGGCGTGCGGTGTCCCCTCCTCTCTGTGCTCATTGCCCTTATCCCTCCTTATCCCGCCTTTTGCCTCTCCCAGCAGCATCCTGCTGCCCTTTGCTCCATGTCTCCTACCACCTTTTCCCCAAATTCCTTGTGTCTCGGGGCTGCTTTGCCCTGGGAAAGCTGCCCCACACCATAGCCAAGCCTTGTGGGACCCTGTGCTTGGATCTGGGGCTGAGGTGATGGCACAAGGCTGTGAGCTGGCTCTGGAGCTGCCAGGCAGCATTCCTGAGTGCATGCCAGGGATGCCTCATGCCCGGCATTTGCTCCAGCCTCTCTCCTCCCCGTAGCACCTCCCTTGTGGCAGCACTTGTCATCGGGCAGCATCCAGCGGGCAGGGATGTGATGTGCTGGGTCCCCATCCGCAATCTGGAGCAAGGAATTGGAGGGGATGGGAATGAGCCAGTTCCGGGGTGTGATGGGTGCTCAGGGCAGCAAGGAGAGACCCCCATGGTGCCACGGAGGCTTGCAGGGCTGTGCTGCTGCTGCCGCCACATTCCCCATTACTGGAAGCACCCAGCCTGTCCATGTGCTCCCAGCATCCCTGTGGCTCACGGCTGGAGCAGAGAGAGCTGTGCCAGGGCTGCACATGGGCGTTTGGAAGCGGATGCACAGCGATGCAAAAAGGGAATGTGGGATGCGATGGGAGATGCTCCTGTGGAGCAGCTCGCATGGGAGGCTCTCATGTGGATGAGCAGTGATGGGCTGGCATGGCACGGTGCGGTGGCACAGGGTTCCAGCTGGAAGCAGACCCCGGGCTGGATGGTGACCACAGACCCAGAGCCCCATTGCCCCTGGAGCAATGTGTGCCGGTGCTCCAAAGGTACAGTCCTGCTGTGCTGAGCTGGGGTGGGCAAAGCAGGATCCTGGCCAGCAAAGGCTGACCTCCTTCCTGCACCCAAACAGGGCCATGTCCCTGGGATGAGGTGGTTTTCCCTACCTCAGCCACGTGGCTGGAGCCGTTCAGGGATGACGGGGTCAGAGGATGCACCGAGCATCCTTCCCCTGCTCCCCATTGCCATTTGCACCCAGGCCATGCCCAGACACTCTGGGAACAGCCACCATGTGTGGATGCCCCATGGTTTGGTGTTCGTGGCTGTGGATTCCCCCTCCATCCCACACCGCATCCCGCTGCGCCTGGGCACAAATGCCCCTTCCCCGGCTCTGTTCTGCCCATGGTGGATGAACGCTGTGCCCATGGAGCTGTGGGGGCTCCGGTATGGAATGCAGCCCCTGCGTGGATGAATGCCCATGAATTAACGCAGGAGGAGGCCAGATTGTGGCTGGGGATGAGACAGTGCCGTGGGGCAGAGCCCATTGGAGGAAACCAATGGGTTCGGTCCAGCAGCTGGTTCTTGGCCCCGCCAGCTGTGGCACAGCTGGACGCTGCTGCTGCTGCCTCTCCCTGCACACCCCTGTGAGGCTGTGGAGCGGTGCTGGTGCTGCCCCAGGCTCCCATCGCTGCTGCTGCTGCTTAATCTTTGATGAGCCTGCAGCCCGGGCATTAACATTTGATGTGGTCCCCCTGCTCCTGGGTGTGTGTTGTGAGCAAACACGTGTGGCACACGCACTTCCCCCCCACACACACGGGTGGCACCCTGCGCATACATGTACACATACATGTAACATGCATGGCACGGTGTGGGGGGAACCCTCTCTGCTTCCCACTGGGGCTACGTGGGATGTCTGGTGTTGGGATTCCCCTCGGCATCGCTCCCTTTGGCCGTGCTCATGGTGCCGGTGCTAACGCGTGCTCTGGGCTCTGGGCTCCTCTTTCTCAGCGCTGGGCTTTGGCTTTATGGGGTCAAAAGCATCCTTGGGCTTCATCCTCCTTTGTGCTGCGTGGGGGAAGAGGTGGATTCCCCAGTGGAGAGCGCAGGGAGCACCGAGGAGTGTCGGGGTGGGGAGGTGTCTGTTATGGGGCTGGTGACATTGCAGTATCCCATTGTGGGGATGCTCCCATCAGCGGGGGGCCCTTCCCTGCTGCATTGGAAAGCTCTGGTGGCCGGAGCAGCGCAGCCCTTACATTATTGATGCCACCACCATGAGCCGCGGCGCTTGGGTTACAGCCAGAGCCCAGCTCGTGGGGAGGCAGGAGGCAGCTCACACCGGGGGCTGCACCGGTGCTGCTCCCCCCGCCACTTCCAGCACCATGCCAAGAGGGGGGCTGCCGGCAGCCGAGGGAGCCACGCACGGGCATGGGCCTCATCGGCACCGGGTGCAGGTAATTCCGGGTGACGGGAGCTGCCTCGTGCCGGAGCTGGGCATCGCCTCCCAGCGCCCCGCCGGGGTTGGAGCATGAGCATCTGCAACCGTCGGGATGGTCGGGAAGAAGGGGGAGCCCAAAAAGGATGCGGAAGCCAAAGGGAAAGGGGGGAAAGGGAAAGATGGGAAGAAAGGCAAGAAAGAGGCGCCCAACGAGTCGGAGGAGACGTCGGATGCGGAGCTGCTGAAGGAGGAGGAGAGTGAGGAGACAGAGGTGGTGGTGGAGGAGAAGGAGAAGGATGCAGAGGAGGAGGAGGTTGTGGAGGAGCCCAAGAAGGGGAAGGGGAAGGAGAAGAAGGGGATGCTCAAGGGGGTGGTGGGGAAGAAGCCGGGCCGGGGGAAGAAGGTGCAGCTGGAGCCGGAGGAGGAGGAGAGCAAGAGCGATGCGGAGCTCACCAAGAAGAACCTGAAGGGCACCTCCAAGCTGGTGGTGGGGCTGTCGACCACCAACGCCAAGAAGAAGAAAGGAGCCAAAGGGGGTGCAGAGACCAAAGCACTCGTGGAGCCCAGCCCGGCTGAGGAAGAGGAGGCAGCGGCGGCAGCACCGAAGGCCAAGGCGAAGCGGAGCCTCCGCAGCACCTCCAAGCTCTTCCTGCGCTTCCAGAAGCTGGGTTTGCGCCGTCCCAAGAAGGCTCAGTTCAAGAACACGTCGCGCTTCTTCTGGGGGCTGCACAAGCGCAGCACCCACAGGAGGAAGAAGAAGAAGAACAAAGCGGTGCTCAAGTCCACCTCCAACCTCATGGTGCGCTTCAAGCGCGTGGGCAAGAAGAGGAAGGAAGCATCACCCGGCAGCGCGCCGCAGGCGAAGCCGTCCTTCCTGCTGCTGCGGCGCGGCGCGGCCGACGCCGAGGACGGAGCATCCCTCTTCCGCCGGCGCCCGGAGAGGAAATTCAAGCCCCGGGCACAGGTGCTGAGCAAGGCGGCCGCAGCCACGGGCTGGCTGGCCAGGAAGGTGCTGAACCGGCGCGGGCGGCTGGTGGGGGGCAGCCGTGCGGCCGACACGGCCTGGCTGTCCCGGATCGGTGCCAAGAAGCTGCCGTTCCCTGCGGAAGACGAGATCCTCCGGCACCGGGCCAACATGAAGCGCATCCCCGGTGGCGGCGGAGGCAGCGGCAGGGTGTCGCGGCGCGGCAGTATGGCGCGACGGCCATCCCGGCGGCGTTCCCAGCGCGCATCCGCCGAGGTGCCGGTGCCGCGCTATGGATGGGCTGAGGAGGAGGATGGAGCTTACAGGCACCGGCGTGGCTACAGCAAGAAGGAGGATGGAGCGTATGGGTCCCGCCGGGGCTATGCCAAGAAGAAAGATGGAGCCTATGGCCGCTGGCGTGGCTACGGCAAGGAGGAGGATGGAGCCTACGGTCCTCGGCGCGGCTACGCTGAGGAGGAGGGAGACTATGGCCCGTGGCGTAGCTACAGTGAGGAGGAGGATGGAGCCTACGGCCCTCAACGTGGCTACACTGAGGAGGAGGAAGGCTATGCCCAAGCCCCAGCCTACCCTGCAGCATACGGCTACGAGGATGTGGGGCCGAGCCCCTACTCTGACTACCCTGGCTATGAGGCAGAGCAGGATTATGGCTTCTATGGGGGGGGTTGGGAGGAGGGAGACCCCCAGGGACCCCCCTATGGCTACGCGGAGCTGGGGGATGAGGGAGCATTTGGTGGCGGGTCCCCCCTCGCCCTCTACGACCCCTACGGCAGCGACCAGGAGTACGGCGAGGACACGGTGGGGGCTTTTGGCTACAGGGGGGACCCCTACGAGGACTTTGGGGACCCCCTCTCGGGGGGGTACCCTGGGGGCGAGTACCCTGAGCACCGCATCCAGTACAGCGAGGGGGGGTGGGCACCGCATGCCCAGTCCTGCAACCCCTATGCCCTGGGCCTGGAGGAGATCGCGGAGGCCGGGGAGCCCGAGGAGTGGGATGAAGAGGAGGAGGAGGACAAGGAGTATCCCTTCTCCATCCTCAGCACCTCCTCGCTGCGGGGCATGCGGGAGACGCTCTCCTCCAAGCTCTCCCTCAATCGCAAGTTCCGGCTCTTCCCCCGGCCTCAGGTCAAGCTTTTCGGCAGGGACCGCCTCGATGTCCCCCTCCCGCCGTCCCCCCATCTCCCCCCGGCCCGTGATGAGGATGACTACGATGAGTACGAGCCTCCAGCACCAGCAGCACCCCGGGGCCGCCGCTTTGCCGCAGCGCGGGCCTGCGGGAGCCCCTTGGGGCAGTTCCTGCAGCGCTCCCTCTCGCAGCCCCCCAGCCGCCCTCCGCGGGCTGCAATGGGACCCCGGGACCCCCGCGCCCCACAGCCCTCCTATAGGCGCTCTGGCAGGGACCCCTCTTCTCCAGCCAGGGACCCTTCCCCACCAGGGGGGTCCTGGGGGCCGCTCCGGCTCCCGTCCCTCCGTAACCCCTTCGCCACCGCGGGGCGCTCCCCATCGCCGCCCCCGGCCCGGCAGCGCCCCGAGGCCCCGCGGCGCTCCCCGTCCCTCGGTGCCAGCATCCGTCGGTTCGGCCCCGAGCCCCCCGCCCCGCCGCCGTCCTCGCCCCGCTCCCCTGGCCCCGGGGGGAGGCGTTTGGGGGTGCCCGCGGCGGGGTCGGGGAGACCCCGGTCCTTGAGGCAGAGCAGCCCCCCCGGGCTGCCGCTCCCCCAGGCCTGGCCCCGGCTCCCCGAGCCCCCCACCAAGGCTGTGAAGCCGCTGCAGAGATCCCCCTTCATGGCATCGACCTCCCGGCCCGGCAGCCGCCGCCTCGGCCCCTCTTGGGACGCGGAGCTGCCCCCCTGGCAGGGCGCTGCTGCTGGGGCGCCCCCGCCTCCCAGCCCCGCTCCTGGTACCCCCAAAACCTTCATCCAGCGCATCGGGCAGCCCCTTGCCGGGATGGCCCCGCGCTCCCCCCCGGCCCGGCCGTCCGCTGCCGAAGCGAGCAGCCCAATCCGCTCCATGGGGCAATCCCTGGCATCGCTGCTCGTGAGGAGCATGGCCCCTTCTGCAACCCCCTCATCCCCACCACCCGCCCGCCGCCCTTCCTCCCGCTCACCCTCCTCTCCCCAGCGCTCATCCCGACGGGACGGGAGCACCCGTAGATCACCGAGCCCCCCACCCCCGGGGCGCCGGGGTTGGACCGACACCGGACGCCCCATTGTCCCGTCCGTGCCTCGCGGGGACCGGAGCCCCTCACCGCAGCGTCACGCCTCTTTCCCATCACCCCGCGGCAGAGCCCCCGGCTCCCCGGCCACCCCCCGCTATGGCCCCCGTGGCTCGGAGGCCGCCGAGGGGGATGCTTTGTCCGGGGAGGAGGGCGCGGGGCGCTACGCGGTGGTGACGCCGCAGGTGCAGAGGTTGGGCTCCTTCCGACGGGCGTCCCGCATGTACAAGCAGCACTGGTCCGCGCAGCACGTCGTGCGGGTGCGGGAGATGCCCGACGCCTGGACGGCAGAGCAGGGCCCCCCCCAGCTGCCCTCCCAGCGCGGCCGGCGGTGGGCGAGCCAGCGAGGAGCCGACATCGCCCGGTACCTGAGCCAGCGCTCGCCGGGGGGCGGCTGGAGGGACCGGCACCCCTGGGCGGACGGGTACCTGGGCAGCAAGCAGCCCTGGCGCAGCAAGGTAACGCCGGCCGGAGCGCAACGTGGTGCCGGTGATGGGATGGAGCTGCGGGATGAGGCGGTAGCACCAGGGACCGGGATGGGGGGAGCACAACGTGGTGCTGGTGATGGGATGGAGCTGCGGGATGAGGCGGTAGCTCCGAGGACCGGGATGGGGGGAGAACAACGTGGTGCTGGTGATGGGATGGAGCTGTGGACCGGGATGGGGGGAGCACAACGTGGTGCCGGTGATGGGATGGAGCTGCGGGATGAGCCGGTAGCACCAGGGACCGGGATGGGGGGAGCACAACGTGGTGCTGGTGATGGGATGGAGCTGCGGGATGAGGCGGTAGCACCAGGGACCGGGATGAGGGGAGCACAACGTGGTGCCGGTGATGGGATGGAGCTGCGGACCGGGATGAGGGGAGCACAACGTGGTGCCGGTGATGGGATGGAGCTGCGGGATGAGCCGGTAGCTCCGAGGACCGGGATGAGGGGAGCACAACGTGGTGCCGGTGATGGGATGGAGCTGCGGGATGAACTGGCAGTCGGAGGGCCCGGGATGGGTGGTGTATTGTGGTTGCTGGCTCCATGGTGTGTGAAGACATTAGAGCCAAGGGGGTTGCAGCACCCAGGGTGGGAGGTGAATGATGCTGGTGGGGGTCCTGCCATAGGGAGCAGGGTGTATGGGGGTTGTTATTGCCCATTGTGTGTGTGTGTGTGTGTCGTCCCCCCCTGCACGGCCCCATCGGGGACACTTGATTCTCGCGTATGGAAATGCTGAGACCTGATCCCTGCGCTCTGACCCGGCTGGTGTCTGCTTTCCTGCCTGCCCTGGATGGCAGCCAGTGTGGGCTCCTTGTGTCCCCCGCCCCGTGTCACCTCTGTGTGGGGCACAGGCATGGGGAGCAGCCCCCAGCCCCACGGCTTGGCCCCCATCACAGCCCCCTTCCATCATCTCCCCTGGAGGTGCTGCCTGGACCAGTCCCCCAAGGATGCTTTGGTGGCCTCATGTCCCCATTTCCAGTGCTGCTGCTATCCCCTGAAGCACCACACTCTTGCTGGGGGACCTGTTTTGGGCCTGTGAGATGCTTGTTTGGGGTCCTTGCCATCACTGGCTGTGGGGTCCCCTTTTTGGGGTCATAGATGGTGGGTTTGAGGTGGTGGTGGTGGCCAGATAGGACATTGGAGGGGGTTGGCACAGCCCTGTAGTGATGGGTCTGGGTTGTTCCATGCAGATGCAGTCGCTGTGCAGCCTGCCCATCATGCGGTACCAGGAGCCACAGGAGGAGGACGGGCTGGAGGACATGACCCAGCTGGAGTGAGTGCTCCTTGTCCCCCATCCACGCACTTACAGCCCCCTCTGCTCCCATCCTATCCCACCCCATCCCGTCCCATCCGAACACAGGTTCTGCTCCATCCTCCTGGGGATGTTGGGGACACGCTTGGGGTCAGCGGACACCTCCTGCCCCCCTGCCATCCCCTAACACAGCCTCTGCTCCATGCAGGGACCTCCAGGAGGCTGCGGTGCTGAGCAACATCCGGACACGGTTCGAGCGCCAGCTCATCTATGTAAGCTTAGGGGTGCACAGCATCCCCCGAGGCCCCGGGTGTGGGGTGTTTTGGGGGTCAGCACCCAAACCTGGCTCTCTATAGACCTACATCGGCAGCATCCTGGTGTCGGTGAACCCGTACCGGCTCTATGACATCTACGGCACGGAGCAGGTCCTGCAGTATGAAGGCAGAGCCCTGGGTGAGAACCCACCGTGAGTATTGGGGTGTCCCAAACACCCTGGGGCACATCTACCCATCATTACCCTCCCCTTGGTCCTACGGCAGCCCCCAGTGGTCCCAGGTCCTCAAGGACCCTCGTGTCAGGGTGCTGTCTGTGCATGGGGATGCTCAGGGTGCACTGGGGTCCCTGTACTGGGGCAATGTGGCACCAGACCCCCCCCCAGTTCTGCTTCTCCCCACTCCAGGCACCTCTTTGCCATCGCGAACGTCGCCTACTCCAAAGTGATGGATGCCAAACACAACCAGTGTATCGTCATCAGGTGGGACAAGGCCATCCCCATGCATGGCTCTCCCTAATCAGTGCTGCCCTAATTGCTGGATGCAGGATGCTGCCACCATGCCACCAGCCCATCCTTGCAGCATCCCCTATGGGGATTGGGGTGCTGGGTGGGTTTGGGGTCTGCAGACCCCTTTAACCCCCTCTTTTGTTGGTGATGGCCCCGGCCATGTCCCCTTCTCTGTATTTCAGTGGGGAGAGTGGCTCAGGAAAGACTGAAGCCACCAAACTGATCCTGCGGTACCTGGCAGCCGTCAGCCAGAAGCGCAGCACTGCCCCACAGGTACCTCCCTGTCCCCATCCCCTTGTCCCCCCTCCTTGCCCTCTCCTCCATCCCCTGCTCATGGCTCTACTTCTCCCTCCTTATCCTTTGCTTCCACCTGGACCACGGCAGATAGAGGTACCGGAAGGGACTCATGGGCTGGGATGGCTCAAGGGGATTGAGCATTGTGGTGGCCACATCACCCTGGGTGCAGGATGGATGCTGGGATGGATGTGGGAGTGTGGTCCATGGGAATACATGGGGTTCTTGTGCTCTCCTGCATCCTCTTGCAACCTGGTCTCAGTGCACACCTTGAATTGGGGTGTCTGCATGGGGCTGAAGGGTGTTGGAGTGGGGCTGTTGGGGTGCCTGGGTTGACCCCCATCTCTCCCCATCGCAGATCCTGGAGGCGACCCCCTTGCTGGAGTCCTTCGGCAACGCCAAAACCGTGAGGAACGATAATTCCAGCAGGTTTGGGAAGTTTGTGGAGATCTTCCTGGAGGAGTAAGTAATGATGAGTGCTGAGCAGATCCCGCCTCTGGTGGGTCCCCTCCGTGTGTCCCTAGGGGTGCCCAACCAGGCCCCCAGCCCCGCAGTCCCTTGGCGCTGGCATAGCATGCACACAGGGATGCTCCTGGGGATAAATGGTAGGGATAAGGTAATGTTGCCTCAAGACAGGCAGTGTTCGCTGTCCTTAGGGTAGGGATGCTGTGCCCTGGGCTGGCACTGTGACCACTCTTCATCCCTATGATGTCCCCCATTCCTATCCTTGCTCATTCCCACTGATCCCCCTGCTCAATGTCACCCTGGGGTGCAGCATCTCCAGCCCTAGCTTGGGAGCTGGATGCAGGGAGCCTTACTCTCCCCACCCATCCCCTTTGGGGGTACCCGGGAACCAGAACCAACCCCCTGGTGCCGCAGGGAGCATCCGGATGGGCACTGGGATGGGGACAGAGCTCCTGCCCATGCTGAGGCTGCAGCCGGGTGCCCAATCTCACCCCTATAGTGGTTTGATCTGCGGTGCCATAACCTCGCAGTACCTGCTGGAGAAGTCCCGTGTGGTCTTCCAGGTGGGTGTGAGGCTCTGCCCCCCATCCCTGCGCTCCCCATGGACCCCATCCCACCCCGATCCTCTGCATCCCAGGCCAAGAGCGAGCGCAATTACCACATCTTCTATGAGATGCTGGCAGGGCTGCCCGTGCAGCAGCGGCAGCGGTACTGCCTGCAGGGCGCCGAGACATACTACTACCTGAACCAGGTAGGGAGACCCCAAACAGCCCCATGGCACCTTCCTTTTGGGGAGGGGGGGCCTGACCAGGCTTTGGGGTGCTGATGGTTTCCTGGATTCAACATGTGGATGGGGAGGGTGTCCCCCTCCAGTGCTAGGTGCTGCCCCCCCCACCATGGCACCCATTGATGGCATGGATGGGGCAATTCCAGGGTGGGAACTGCGAGATTCCCGGGAAGAACGATGAGGAGGATTTCCATCGCCTGCTCAACACCATGGAAGCGCTGAGCTTCAGCGTGGAGGAGCAGAACAGCATCTTCCGCATCCTCTCCTCCGTCCTCCACTTGGGCAACGTCTACTTTGACAAATACGAGGTACCCAAAGGGAGAGCCGAGCCCTGCTCCTTGATTCGGGATGCGGCAGAGGGGGGATCGCAGCATCCCATCGCCTCACTGCGTCCCATAGAGCGACTGCCAGGAGGTGGCCATGGTGGTGAGCGCCACGGAGATCCGGACCGTGGCTGAGCTGCTGCAGGTGTCCCCTGAGGGCCTGCAGAAAGCCATCACCTTCAAGGTGACGGTGAGTGAAGGGGGGATGCAGGCAGGGGATGGGGTCCTTGGGGACCACGGTTTGTGATGCTGAAGCTCCATCGCACCCTTGGGTTTGTGCATCCCAACCAGGAGACACTGCGGGAGAAGATTTTTACCCCTCTGACTGTTGAAAGCGCCGTGGATGCCAGGTAAAGGGGAAGGGGGGTCCCTAGGGATGGGGCAGGAGGTGGAATGTTGGGATGGGAAAGGGATGGCCAAGCCTCCCAGTGAGGATTAGGCTCTTGGTGAGGAAAACTGCAGCCCTAAGGGATGTTCTGGGCTATGGTGAGTGCTGGCAGCCGTGGTGGTGGTGTATGCCATGCCATGCCGTGCCGTGCCACGCTGGAGCTCCAGCTCATCTTCCCCATTCAGGGATGCCATTGCCAAGACCCTCTACTCCCTGCTCTTCGGCTGGCTCACGGACCGCATCAACAAGCTGGTGTACCCGCGGCAGGAGGCCCTCTCCATCGCCATCCTGGACATCTACGGCTTTGAGGTGAGCGGGATCCATCCCAGCTCCATCCCACCCAGCCACCAGCCCCGGTGCTGCAGGATCTCAGGCTCCATGGAGCTTTCTTCTTGCAGGATCTCAACTTCAACAGCTTTGAGCAGCTCTGCATCAACTACGCCAACGAGTACCTGCAGTTCTTCTTCAACAAGATTGTGTTCCAGGAGGAGCAGGTTTGGGCCCAGTGAGCTGTGCAGGGCTCTGCCCCATGCCCAGCATCGCCGTGGGGCTGACCGAGTGCTGGCCCCATAGGAGGAGTACCTGCGGGAGCAGATTGAGTGGAAGGAGATCCCATTCAGTGACAACCAGCCCTGCATCGACCTCATCTCCCAGAAGCCCTATGGAATCCTGCGCATCCTGGATGACCAGAGCTGCTTCCCCCAGGTCAGGATGGCAGCACCGGGTGGTCACTGTGGTTGGGAATTTCCATTCCCCACGGATGCTCCGTTCATGGGGGTTTCCAGGCTGGAAACAAGCCCCAAGAGGTCCTAGGTTGGTGCCATTGGAGCAACTTCCCCCAGAGGGCTTGCTTTTGCAGGGATTACTGAGAACCCTGCCCTAGATGAGGCTGTGGGGTCTCTGATGGGGAAACTGAGGCACAGAGGAGCAGATGCCCGTGACCAGTGACAGAGCTGACATCTGGTCCAGCATCCCCAATCTGATGCTGGCATCCCCATCCTGATGCCTACATCCCGAGGGCTGCTGAATGACCCAATCCGTGTCTCACCCCTGCATCCATCCCCAGGCCACCGACCACACGTTCCTCCAGAAGTGTCACTACCACCATGGGACGAACCCCCTGTACACCAAGCCGAAGATGCCACTGCCCGAGTTCACCATCAAGCACTACGCAGGGAAGGTGACCTACCAGGTATGGACTGGTGGGATGGTCCTAAGCAGGGTTAAAGAGGAGGTTTATGGGGTTGGGGCAGCTCAGGGGGTCCATCTATGGGGGCACATCCTGGCCTGCATCTCCTTGCCCCTGTGAGCTTTTGCTCTTTGCCAGGTCCACAAGTTTTTGGATAAGAACTATGACCAGGTCCGTCAGGATGTGCTGGACCTGTTCATCAGCAGCAGGACCAAGGTAGGGCCCTGCTAGCCCCTGCTCCTGGGGACACAGCAGGCATGGATGACCCCCTTCCATACACACCACCCTTCACGTCCCCAAGCATGTGCCCCCATGGCTGGTGAAGCCGAGGGGGACCAGAAGCAGAAGATGACTCCTGTGCCCTCTTCCCGTGGGGTCCTCTGGGCTTTGACCCCTCAAGCATTGGCACAAAGGGGGACACAGGGGCTGCTCTTGTGCTTCCCCATCCCTATGCAGGGAATCAAACCGTGAATAAGGGATATGGCTGGACAAGAAGGCAGTGGTTGGGCTGGGAAGAGGAGCCGGGATTGCTGCTCCATCCATCCGCCTTCCTCCTCCCTAACCCTTCCCATCTTCCCAAGGTGGTGGCCAACCTCTTCTTCGGCCATGCCCAGGTGATGGCGCGGCAGAGGAGCCTCCACAGGAGGAGCAGCACCAGGACCCGGCGGTACAAGGCTCCCACTGTGGCCGCCCGGTTCCAGCAGTCGCTCCTGGAGCTGGTGGAAAAGATGGAGAGGTCAGGACAGGCAGGAACACCGGGATGGTGGGAGCAGGGTGACCATGGACCAAGCCCAAGGTGGCCAAGCTGGCTTTGTCCCCTGTTCCCCATGGCCAATGCGGTCTCTTCAATGCAGGTGCAACCCCTTCTTCGTGCGCTGTCTCAAACCCAACAATAAGAAGGTGAGAGCTTGTTTGGGGCTCTCCGACCCATGGTGATGCCAATGCTGTGGTGGGCACACAAGGGTTTCCCTAATGGCCACTAAAGCTTCTCCCCATCTCCTCCCCAGGAGCCAGGGCTCTTTGAGGCTGATGTGGTCAGCAGCCAGCTGCGGTACTCAGGGATCCTGGAGACCATCCGCATCCGCAAGGAGGGCTTCCCCATCCGCATCCCTTTCCTCGTCTTCATCGACAGGTGCCTGGAGGCTGTGGGCTGGGTACCAGCATCCTGGTGAGGGTAGAGCACAGAATTTGTGGGTGTTTGGAGGGACTCTTTGGTGGCAGCTGGGAGCCCCCTTGCTTTGGTCCACAGCAGCAGGAGAAGCTTTCTAGGCATAGAATCAAAAAAGAATACAATGGTTTGGGTTGAGGGGACCTTAAAGCTCATCCAGCTCCAACCCTTGCCATGGGCAGGGACACCTCCCACTAGAGCAGCTTGCTCCAAGCCCCTGTGTCCAACCTGGCCTTGAACACTGCCAGGGATGGAGCATTCACCACTTCTTTGGGCAACCCATTCCAGTGCCTCATCACTCTCACAGTAAAGAGTTTCTTCCTTAGATCTAATCTGATCTCCCCCATTTCAGTTTAAACCCATTCCCCCTTGTCCTATCGCTGCAATCCCTGATGAAGAGCCCCTCTCGAGCATCCTTGTAGCCATGGTGACCATCACGCCGGAAGATGTCCACACTGGTGGTGGGATCCGGTGTGGTGACGGTGTCACACTGCTTGTCCAGGTACCGCTGCCTCGTTGACATGTGGTCCAACGTCATTCCCAACGGCGCCAACTGTGTGGAGATGCTGAGGAGCCTCTGCCCCGTCAGCCCCAGCATGTACTACGTCGGTGTCAGCAAGGTGCTTGTCCCAGGGCAGGGGGTTTAGCTCCGGTGATGCCCTTGGGGATGGCAGGCGAGGTGTGGGGCTCACAGCATCGCCCCCCTTTCCCAGCTCTTCCTGAAGGAGCAGCTGTACCAGGCCCTGGAGAGCAAGCGTGCTCGTGCCCATCACTTGGCCGCGCTCACGCTCCAGCGCTACGCTCGCACCTTCTTCATCAAGAGGCGCTTCCGCTCCCTCCGCAGGAAGATCGTCCTCCTGCAGAGCCGGGCGAGGGGATACCTGGCCAGGTTGGGGTGCCTGGAGGTGGTGGGTGGGCTCTGGTGGGTGGCGGAGGGTGATGGGTGCTCTCCCCATGGCAGGCAGCGGTACCGGCGCATGCGGCGCACGCTCATCAAGTTCAGGTCGCTGGTGCACATCTATGTGAACCGCCGGCGGTACCTCAAGGTGAGGGTGGGGATGGCACATCCATGAGAGGGGTCCTGGGCCCCCGTTTCCTCCCTGCTGCGTGCTCGGTGGTGGGTCTGGAGAGGCATCCACAGACCCCATCCCCACCATCTCCTCCATGCACCATGGTGCTCTTTGCCATGGAAGCCTGGTGATGCCAGGGGATAAAAGGCTGCCTCTTGGCCTCCCTCATGGCATGGGCTCAATGTGGGTGCTCTGCTTGCAGAAGAAGGAGGATGCCCGCCGGCGGGCAGAGGCGGAGAAGGAAAGGATGAAGCAGGTAACGGCTGTGCAGCACTGCGGGAAGCACGCATGCGACTCTATGCAACCCGTGCTGCTCTCATCCCTACCATGTGCTCGCCCATCCCCATGCGGAGGCACCCATGGGTGCTGGGCTGCTGCATCCCTGCCCTATGCCTGCAGGAGCTGACCAGGAGGGAGGTGGTGGACGTCACCCACCTGGAGATCCCGGCCGAACTGATGGGGCTGCTGGAGGCGGCCGCAGGTGAGCGCGTCCTGTGGGGCGGCCGGCACCGCTCCCAGCCCCCTTATTCCCCCCCACCACCACCACGCATCCCTATGGCGGTGCCGCATCTGCCCGCTGTGCCGCAGCCGCCCGGGAGGTGAACGCCGGCTGCGTGGTGCTGGTGCCGCCGCCGGCGCTGCAGCCCGACTCGCAGCTCACGCTCCCGCTCGACATCAACGAGTACCCCATGGCCAAGTACGTGCGGGGCCACTTCCAGGTAAGGTGGGCGCCGGCGGCCGGGAACCTGCCCCGATGGTTTGGGGACTCCTCGGTCGTGAGCGCTCAGGTCCAGGGTCCCCAGAGGAGGGGGAGTCCGGAGCCTCCTCCCTCTGCCCCCACCGGGCTCGGCCCCGGGGATGCTGCGGGGTGCGAGAGGGGCCGGACCCGGCGGGGCTGCGGTGCTGCAGGGAGCCGGCTGCCGCCTCCCTCCCTCCCCGTGGGTTCCTGTCGTCTCCAGAGGCCGGGGGGACCCCGCTGAGGCTATGCAGAGACACCCGCCGAGCCCTCCTGGACGCCCGACGCGGGGCAGATCCGGAAACGCTGGGGCGGGAGACCAGGTCGATTTGTTCCCGGGATCCCAGCCCCGTCCCTGGTCTCTTTTCCTCCTTCCTCCTCGCCTCCTATTTTTGCCGTGTGTTTCCCGGTCCCCAGCATCCCAAATGACAGCGCCGGGGCCGGATCCTGCTCCCAGCCTCACCAAGGTGCCAGCATCCCTGGTGCCACTGAGTCCATCCCAAACCACTGCTGGGAGGCTGCCGGCCCCATCCTGCACCCCAGCCCTTTTGCAGCCCCGTAGTCCCCCTCCAGCATCAACCCCATGCTCAGCACCATGGGGCTGGTCCCTCATAGCCTGAGCCTGTCCCCAGGGCTGGGGTAGCCATGGGTGCGGGTGTCACCGCAGGAACCAGCGTTCGGGATGCTGACAGCCCCACTGATGGCTCCTCTCACCCGGCTGGATGAGGAGCTGTGCCACGAGGCGCTGAGCCTGTTCCAGCTGGTAGGTGGCATGGCACAGGGTCCATCACCATGGCCCCCTGCCTGCTCCCTGCCCGGCGGTGGAGGGAAGGACCTCGCTGTCCCCACTCAGATCCTGCGGTTCATGGGGGACCCGGCGCTGGGAGGCTCACAGGAGACCCTCTTTGGCAACTACATCGTGCAGAAGGGGCTGTCGGTGCCGGGGCTGCGGGACGAGCTCCTGGCACAAGCGGCCAACCAGGTCTGGCGCAACACCAACGTCAACAACGAGGAGCGGGGCTGGCTGCTGCTGGCCGCCTGCCTCAGCGCCTTTCCCCCCTCCACCGCCTTCGACAAGTACCTGCTCAAGTGAGATATGGGGATGGGGAGCGGCGTGGGCGCTGGGGATGGCTGGGATCCTTGGGGATGCTGCTGGGGTTCCCTGGGATAGCCTGGTACACGTGGCTGAGGATGCTGCCCGGGTCAAGCTGGGGATGCTCTGAGGTCCACCCGTGGTCTTCGAGGCCAACTTGGCACATGTGCCAAGGATGCTGCTGAGATCCCTCCAGGGATGCTCTTAGTCCCTCTGTGGTCCCCTAGGGCCAGCCTGGCACATGTGGCCAGTGATGATGCTCAGGTCCCTCTAGGATCCCTCTGGCTGGTCTAGCACACATTATGCTGCCAAGATCCCTCCAGGAATGCTCTTAGTCTGTCCTGTGGTCCTCTGGGGCCAGCCTGACACATGTGCCTGAGGATGTTGCCCAGGTCCCACTGGGGATGCTCTGAAGTCACTCCATGATCTCTGTGGCCAGTCTGGCGCATGTGGCCAGGGATCATGCTCAGGTCCCTCCAGGATCCCTCTGGCCACCTTGGAGTATATGCCCAAGGATGCTGCTGAGATCCCTCCAGGGATGTTCTTGGTCCCTTTGTGGTCCCTTGGGGCCAGCCTAACGCATCTGCCCAGGGATGCCATGCAGGTCCCATTGGTGATGCTCTGAGGTCCCTCCATGGTCCCTGGGGGCCAGCTTGGAATATATGCCCAGGGTGCTACCAAGATCCCTCTGGGGATGCTCTTAGTCCCTCTGTGGTCCCTGGGGCCAGCTTGCCCCATGTGCCTATGGATGCTGCCCACATCCCTCCTCCTCCTGCAGCATCCTCCCTTGCCCCCAGGTTCGTCTCTGACTACGCCTTCGCTGGCTACAAGCCGGTGTGCCAGCGCAAGCTGATGCATGCCATGGCCCGCTCCCAGCTGGGTGCCGCGGCCGCCCGAGCCTACCCCCCATCACTGCTGGAGTGGACGGCGAACCGGCAGCAAGCCAGCATGGCGCTGGACCTGCACTGCTTCAATGGTGCGGGTGGCGTGGGGCTGGGGCATGCGGCGGGGAGGGTCAGACCCAGCTTGGGGCAGGGGTGCACTGGTGGGTCCTGCTCCCATCCCATCCCATCCCTCCCCAGGTGACCAGTTCTCCTGCCCTGTCCACTCCTGGGCCACAGGCGAGGACCTGGCAGGGGATGTCCTGAAGCACAGGTACCCACCAGCTCGGTACCCACCCGTTCCATGGCGCTCAGCATCACTTTGGGTGACCCCAGGCTCTTGCACTTGGGATGTCCAGGGTGTCCCCACGGAGCCGGGGCACTGCTGGACTCCCATCCCCACCCCGCTGTTGGCAGGGGGCTGGTGGAGGGCTGGCGGGGCTGGTCCGTGGCCATGAAGGCGGGTGCCCAATGGGCCGAGCTGGCTGGTCATGACTATGTCCTGGACCTCATCTCTGACCTCGAGCTGCTCCGTGGCTTCCCCAAGCAGAAGTCCTGCTTCCTGGTGGCATGGGATGGAGCTGAGAGCCACGGCGGGGACAGCCGGGCGTAGGTACCCGGGCAGGGATGGGTGCCCCGCTGGATGGGTGCCGGCAGAGGCATGGGATGGGGTCCTGGTGGTGATCCGGTACCCAGTGGGTGCACAATGAGTGCATCCTCTCCCTCTGCAGGGTGTTGGGGCACGGCTTGGATTTGGATGAAGTACCCCCTCCTCCAGCTGTGAAAGCCCCAACGCTGCCATCCACAGAGGTGTACCACCCCCACGGTAGGGCATCACCCTCCGACCCATGGTGGGACCATGCTGGTGAAGCCCTGCTGCTGACAGCTCATCCCTCCTTGTCCCCCAGGAGATGGGGAATTTGGGGAGCCGCGCAGCCAGAAGGGTCTGGACCGGTACCTGGACAGCCTCTTTGACCCTGTGCTCTCCTATGGCAATGGGGTGAGAAGGAGTATAGCATTTTGGGGGTGCAGTTGGCTTGACTTCCACCCATCCATCCACTCATCCACCCATCCATCCATCCATCATCCATCCCATCCATCCATCCATCCATCCATCCATCCATCCATCCATCATCCATCCCATTGTCCCCCAGGAGCTTGAGAAGCCGGCTGCTGTCACACAGAGGATGAAGGGAAGAGGTGGTGCAGGAGGAGGGGATGGTGATGCCGAGCACAGCAAATCCCCAGTGCCTCCAGAGACACAGCAGCCAAGAGGTGAGCACCCTCAGCCAGCTCCCTGCCTCGGTTTCCCCTCCTGATCCCTGCTGTGGGCTCATCCCTGCACCCCATAGCCCCGGTTTGGGGGGGGCAGGACATCCTGTCTGAGCTGTGCCCTTTTGGCATCACAGGCACGGAGCCAGCCCCATCCTCACAGCACCGGGCAGATGCCAACCAGCCACCGGTCAGTGGGGCTGAGATGGGGATCTGGGAGGGATAGTGCCCTGCCCCACAGCTCTCCTGGGCAGCTCTGTGGGGCTGGGGGCAGCGGGGGGGGGTGTGTGTGTCTGGATGCTCACAGTGGGGTGTCCCTCGCAGGGCAGAGCAGCTGAGGGGACACCATCCCGCGCCCCCCAGCCCCGGCCCTACATGCAGAAAGCAGGTAAGGGGTCCCAGTGCAATGTGGTGTCAGTGGGGGCTTGTGTCAGCCCCAGCAGTGAGCCCCTGAGCCATGCACTTGGCCCCACAGCCCCTGTGGGCCGGCGGTGGCCGGGAGAGCTGGTGCAGAATTCCCGGCTCAACTCGGAGCACTTCCCGCGGCCCACACACGACATCCGGAACATCATCCGGCAGTGCCAGCCGGCCCCACGCGGATCCCAGCCCCACAGGTACCCCTGCGCCCCAGAGAGACACCGGCCCCTCCTGCATGTGGGTGCATGCGCTGGGATGCAGGCAATGCTGGGGATGCAGGTGATGCCAGGTAGAGGTGATGCCTGGATACAGGTGATGCTGGGGTACAGGTGATGCTGGGGTGCAGATGATGCTAGGGGTGCAGGTGACACCAGGATGCAGCTAATCCCAAGGTTTGGGTGATGCCAGGATGCAGCCAATGCCAGGGTGCATGTGATGTTGGGGTACAGGTGATACGGGTGTACAGGTGAGGCTGGAGGTGCAGGTGATGCCAGATAGAGATGATGCCTGGATGCAGCTAATGCTGGGGTGCGGATGATGCCGGGGTACAGGCAATGCCAGGTTGCAGGCAATGCTGGGATACAGGTGATGTTGGGAATACAGGTGGTGCCAGAATGCGTCCAGGATGCAGCTAATACCAGGGTGCAGATGGTGCCAGGTACAGGTGATGCTGGGGTGCAGCTAATGCTGGGGTGCAGGTGATGCTGGGGTGCAGGTGATGCTGGGGTACAGGCATGCTGGGGTACAGGCATGCTGGGATACAGGTGATGCTGGGGTGCAGGTGATGCTTGGGTACAGGTGATGCTGGGGTGCAGGTGATGCTTGGGTACAGGTGATCCTGGGGTGCAGGTGATGCTGGGGTGCCGGTGATGCTGGTATGAAGCTGATGCTGGGGTGCAGGTGATGCTGGGGTGCCGGTGATGCTGGGGTGCAGGTGATGCTGGGATGCAGGTGATGCTGGGATGCAGGTGATGCTGGGGTGCCGGTGATGCTGGGATGCAGGCGATGCTGGGATGCAAGTGATGCTGGGATGCAGGTGATGCTGGGGTGCCGGTGATGCTGGGGTGCAGGTGATGCTGGGATGCAGGTGATGCTGGGATGCAGGTGATGCTGGGGTGCCGGTGATGCTGGGATGCAGGTGATGCTGGGATGCAGGTGATGCTGGGGTGCAGGTGATGCTGGGATACAGGTGATGCTGGGGTGCAGGTGATGCTGGGGTGCAGGTGATGCTGGGATGCAGGTGATGCTGGGTGCCAGTGATGCTGGGATGCAAGTGATGCTGGGGTGCAGGCACTGTGAAGTGCTGTCTCCACAGCAAGCTCTTTGGGAAGAAGCAGGACCCCCACGAGGAAGCCATGCAGATCCTGAAGGAGCAGCTCTCAGCACCCCCAGTGGCTGCGGTAGGGATGCAGCCACCCTGTGTGCCCCACATCAGGCTGGGGTGGGGGGGGTGGTGTGTGTGTGTCACCATCACCAGCCGCAGTGAATCTGCCTCTCAGGGGCCCAAGGAGGTGGTGGCCACGGTGAAGCCGGTCACCAGCAGCAGGTACCCACTGCGACCACCAACGGGGCGTGCGGTGGCCACCCGGTCCCAAGGTACTGCAGGGCAGTGGCGCTTGGCGGGGGGGATCCAGCTCTACAGCATCCTCATGGGATAACCTCTGTGTCAAGCTAAACCCTCCCTGGTCCCCGTTTCCCCTTGTGAAGAGGGGCTCTTGGTGGTTCCCTCAGGGATGTGCAGGACTTCCCATCCCTTTCCAGTCTCTGTGTCACGGGAGCTCCCATCCGAGGCGCAGCAGGTCCAGACCCAGCTGCACCGGAGCTGCAGTGAGGACTTCTACACCTACCACAACGTGCCCTGGAAAATATACATCCGGAAGGAGGTGCGTGGTGGGGACAGGGATGGGGACAGGGTGGTGTGGAAGTGCTATGGGGATAAAGGGGTTTTGTTGCTAAGTTCGGGGCGCTGATGGTGATGCTGGTCTCCCTCCTGGCAGGTTTTCTACCCCAAGGACAGCATCAACAACCCATTGCTGCTCGACCTCATCTTCAGGCAGGTGAGGTCCCCTGGGAGCTGGGGTATCCCCTCATATCACTGGGGTGATGGTTCACCCATCCCACTGCATCCATCCCCATGCCGAGCGGCCATGGAGGAGCAGGAGGTCTCTGTTGGTTACCCCAAGGCAGGGGAGCAGGCAGAGCAATGGGGCTGGGGGTGCACGGAGCCCCACTGCTCCTCACCCCCTCCCCAGATCTTCAATGATGTGCTCTCCAACACCTGCATCCGGCTCAGCCAGGAGGAGAGGCTCCGACTCAAATCCCTCTTCGGTAACCTGTGTCCTGCTGCTCCCAGGCTGGGAAGGGGGGGGGGAACACTTATGGGGGCCCAAACCTGGGGGGCTCACACCCATCCATCCTCATCTCCTGGGCACCTCCAAGCCATTAAAGGTGGGGTAGTTTTGCTTCCAAATGCAATGAACCCCTGTGATACAGGGATGCTGGAGAGGGACCCTTCGTCAGGGACTGTCGTGATAGGACAAGGGGTAACGGGTTCAAACTGAAACAGGGGAGGTTCAGGTTGGATCTAAGGAAGAAGCTCTTTACTATGAGGGTGCTGAGGCGCTGGCACAGGGTGCCCAGAGAAGCTGTGGCTGCCCCATCCCTGGCAGTGTTCAAGGCCAGGTTGGACACAGGGGCTTGGAGCAAGCTGCTCTAGTGGAAGGGGTCCCTGCTTGGAACTGGATGAGCTTTAAGGTCCCTTCCAACCCAAACCATTCCCTGATTCTAGGATTTAGCGCTCCACAAAGCCACGAGTTGTGTCAGGTCTCAGCCAGGTTTGCTGCATTAGGATAGTGAGGCAGCAGGGGGGATATCATGGTCCTGCCAGGCTTCGAAGAGGATGAGCATCCCCACTCTTGCTGTGAACCTGTGTCTGAATCCTCCCATGGGTGTATATATATATATACACACACACACATATTTATACTATATATATATATGCTGGGCTGTATACTATATATATATATAGTATGAGACTGCAGTATATATATAGTATATAATAAATACCAGTGGCTATTTCTCCCCACAGCGGAAAACAAACTGGATTCCTTCAGCCCCGTGGCCACTGAGAGCGTCAAGAGGGAGATCATCGCTGCCGCCCGCGATGGCTGCGATGTGTATTTCTCTCGCCTCTTCCCCGCCACGGTGAGGGTGCAGCCATGGGGCAGGTCAGTGTTGGGTGCACCCCATCCCCGTGCCCCCCCCCCCCGCTGAGGCAGGGTCCCACCCCACAGGGCAGCGTGGGGACGGGGGTGCAGATCCTGGCTGTGTCCCACACTGGCGTCAAGCTGCTGCGGATGGTGAAGGGCACCAACATGCCCGGGGAGCAGCTGAGGGTGTTGAGGGCGTACGGGTAAGAGCGGGGACCCCCGTGGTCCGGGTGCGATGGGTGCTGTGGGTGCCGGGTGTTTCAGCATCCCCTCATCCTCCCCAGCTATGCCGATGTGCTGTTTGTGACCACCCCGTCCAGGAACATGCTGGAGCTCAACCTGCGCAGCGAGAAGCTCATCCTGTTCTCCCCCAAAGCCCCCCAGGTCAAGGCCATGGTTGACCACTTCATCAAGGAGCTCAGGAAGGTGGGGTGGGGGGGGGGATGTGTGTGTTGGGCTGTGCCCTGCAAATGGGATCATGCCTGGGGTGATGGTGGGTACCCCGCGGTGGGGCTGTGGGTGCTGGGTGGGATGGGATGTACACGCGTGTACATGTGTGTGCATACGTGTGCCTGCGTGCACGGGCTGTGCCAGCCCCCCCCACTGTGCCCAGGACTCCCAGTACGTGGTGGCTGTGAGGAGCTACAGCCCAGAGGACAAGGGCCAGCTCAGCTTCCACAAAGGGGACATCATCCACCTGCAGCCACTGAAGCATCCCGAGAGAGGTGAGCGGTCCCCCTCCCACCCCGTGCCAAAACGCCCTCAATGTGGGGCACAGGGGTGGCAGGACTGATGGCTTCTGGATCCTGGATGGATGTGGATATGCCTTGATGACTCCCCGTGGGTGTCCCCACAGACCACTACTACGGCTGCGTGGTCCGCAAGAAGGTGATGTACCTGGAGGAGCTGAAGACGGGCACCCAGGACTTTGGTGGGTGCTGTGCTGTCCCCATGCGTGTCCCTGGTGTGCATACACTGCCCTGGGGCTAGGGTATGGGGCAGGATCCTGCCTCTGCCACCCCTGAGCAGGATGGGTCAGGCTCTTTTTGGTACCAACCTGATGCAGGGAGATGCTCCGCTGCGGTTCCCACGCTGCCCCACATCCCAGCTAGAACTGGGCTTTGTGGCCCCTTCTCCATTCCTTTACACTGAGCAACATCAGTTTTTCCACCCAAATCCTACAATCAGACCCCTTGGAAAGGCCTTGGGGTGCAAAGGGGCAGGAGGGAACAGACAGGGGCTTTCTGGAGCTGCCAGCCTGGATCCATCCGCACATCTGCCCACTGCAGGGTGGAAGTTCGGTGCCATCCACGGCAGGTCGGGTCTCTTCCCTGCTGAATACGTCCAGCCCGTCGCAGCCCCGGACTTTGTCCATTTGCCAGCGGAGAGGAAAGAGGAGCCCAGGGACAAGCAGGGCAAGGTGGTGGCTTCAGCAGCCGTGGCTGTGGCCGTGGCCTCCACCGCCGTGGCGCAGGAGCTGGACCGCAAGAGCGAGGTGGGTGCTGGCGCGGGGCTGTGGATGCCCGGGGCTGGATGCGCCTGGTACCCATTGCTCTGCTCCACAGGCATCCCCAGCCAGCACAGCAGAGGGGGACAGCAGCGAGAAGCTTGGTGACAGCACAGGGACCTGCCCCATGCTGGCTTTTGCCAGGCAGTATTTCCGTGCGGCACGGCATGGGGAGGCAACGTGAGTGCCCAGTGGTGCGATGGGGATGCCCTGAATCCGAGGCACCCGTGCCCATCTGCTCCTTCATCCGTCTCCCAGGGAACCCTGTGGGATGAAGGCCAAAAGGGATGTGCCCAATGTGCTGGAGATGCTGACATTCAGCAAGGTGAGGGGAAGCGGGGTGTCCCTGCCTTGCTGTCACCTGCAGGTCACCCCGGTGGGCTCGGGGGCTCTGTGAATGACACCCCGATGCGCACCCCATCCCTCTGGTTGCTCCCCGTTGCTGATGCTCTCCCTCTTTAGACCCCCATCCAGGAGTCACTCATTGAATTCGTGGATGGTGGCATCAGCAAACTGGCCACGGAGGCGTTCCAAGGTAGGCAAGTGGCACCAGCCCCTTGCCCCATGGCCATCCCTGTCCTTGGAGAAGGGTGGGAGCAGGACCAGGATGGGGTGGCCTGGAGGGGTCCAGGATGTTGCCCGCACCCAGGGGACCACATCCCTGGGGAAGGGATGGGATGAGCAGTACCAGTGCGTGGCTCTGTCCCCAGCCGTGATGAAGTTCATGGGCGACCACCCCCCGCGAGGGCAGACGGAGCTGGACTGCGTCTGCACCATCCTCAAGGTAAAGCCCCTGTGTGGGGTGCTGGGTGCTGGGGGTGCCTTGAGCACCCTGTGGCAGCTGTGCCTGTCCCCCAGCTCTGTGCAGAGCACGAGGTCCTGCGGGATGAGGTCTACTGCCAGGTCGTGAAGCAGATCACCAACAACAGCAGCTCCAAGCCGTGAGTCCCTGCTCCTGGGCCATCCATCATCCCTGCTCCCGTGGCATCCACCATCCCTACTGGGACAGCACAGCCTGGCACTGGGGACACTTGTCTGGGGACATGTGGGGACCCCAAGCTTGCAGTGCCTCCATGGGCATCCTTACCCTTCCCACAGGGATAGCTGCCAGAAGGGCTGGAGGCTGCTCTACATCCTCGCTGCTTACTACAAGTGCTCCGAGGTGCTCAGGCCCTTCCTGCTGGCCTTCCTGCAGGATGCTAGCAGGCACCCGGACCTGCCGTTCCATGGTAGGGGGCTGTGCACGCTGCAGGGTGCGGGCTGCACGGGGCTCAGCTCCATCCCTCCTCATCCCGGCCCCTGTCCCTGCCAGGCATCGCCAAAGCCTGCGAGCTGAACCTGCGGAAGACCCTGCAGTTTGGTGGCCGCAGCCTCTTCCCCAGCAGCACGGAGCTGAGGGCCATGGTGGTGAGGATGGGTGCATATGGGGTGTAGGGCAGGGATGATGCCAGCTTGAGATCACCCCCAGAGGTTCCTGGTCCTCCCAATGGCTTGGGGTCCCCCCCAGGCACTGTCCTGGAGCTGATGGCCCCTTGCTGGTGTGGGGAGCATAGTCCTTTCTGGTCTCTCTTTGGGGGTACCTTGAGCATCCCAGTAGGGATGCAGCTCTGCGCGTGTGGGGTGAAGGGCACAATGCCTCACCCAGGAAAGACGGGCGAGACACAGGATGATCCCCACGGGATGGTTCCCTGGGATATTTTGGGGATTCAGGGTGTCCTTTTGGGTCTTGCTTTGCAAAGGTGTCCCCCCCCCGCACCCCAATGTGTCCCCCCCATGCAGGCTGGACGCAGCGCCAAGCGCCAGCTCTTCCTCCTGCCTGGCGGCATTGAGAGGCACCTCAAGATCAAGACGTGCTCGGTGAGTTAGAGCAGGCAAGAGGCTCTGTGTACCCCAGATACGGAGGGACCCCCCCATTTGTGGGTGTCTTGGGGGTGTAGATATGGAGAGGGCTTCACCTCTTGGCTGTCCATGAGCTGGGGGACTTTGTTCTCCTCTTCCTTGGGAAGCAGCATGGGATGAGCTTCAATGCGGGAGCTGCTGACTGTGGCAGCATCCCAGCCTCCTTGCCCCCATACGCAGGTGGCTCTGGATGTGATCGAGGAGCTGTGCTGTGAGATGGGGCTGCAGCACCCAGAGGCTTTTGAGGAGTACATCCTCTTTGTGGTGACCGACAGAGGTGAGGGGCTGCTGGGGACAGGATGGCTGTGCGTGGTGGGTACCACACATGATGGGTACCGTGTAGGGTGGATACCGTGCATAGTGGGTGCCGTGCATGGTGGATGTCACACAGGGTGGGTATGATGCATGGAGAATGCTGCGCATGAGAGGATGCTGTGCATGGTGGATGCTACGCATGAAGGGTACCAGGCATGGTGGATGCTGTGCATGGAGGACGCTATGCATGGAGGACACTGTGCATGGAGGACACTGTGCATGGTGGATACTGTGCATGGTGGATACTGTGCATGGAGGACGCTGTGCATGGAGGACACTGTGCATGGTGGGTACCGTGCATGGTGGATGCTGTGCATGGAGGATGCCATGCATGGAGGATGCCGTGCATGGTGGATGCTGTGCATGAAGGACACTGTACATGGAGGACGCTGTGCATGAAGGATGCTGTGCATGGAGGATGTTGTGCATGGAGGATGTTGTGCATGGTGGATGCTGTGCATGGTGGATGCTGTGCATGGAGGATGCTGTGCATGGAGGATGCTGTGCATGAAGGATGTTGTGCATGGAGGATGGTGTGCATGAAGGATGCTGTGCATGGAGGATGCTATGCATGGTGGGTGCTGTGCATGGTGGGTGCTGTGCATGGTGGATACCGTGCATGGTGGGTACTGTGCATGGTGGAAGCTGTGCATGGAGGATGCTGTGCATGGTGGAAGCTGTGCATGGAAGATGCTGTGCATGGAAGATGCTGTGCATGGTGGAAGCTGTGCATGGAAGATGCTGTGCATGGAGGATGCTGTGCATGGAGGATGCTGTGCACGGTGCTCATCTCCCGGGGTGGCGGGTGCAGGGCAGAGCGTGCGGCCGCTGACCCGCCGGGAATACGTGCTGGATGTGGCCGCCGAGACGGAGCGCCGGGACACCAGCTACACCTTCTGGTGCCGCCGCGTGGTCTGGGGGCAGCCCCTCAAGTTTGACAACGAGCTCTATGTCACCGTGCACTACAACCAGGTCAGGCCCCCCCACCGGGGCCACGTCCCTGTCCCCCCACCATGGTGTGTGCTCCATCCCCAAGCCGTGCCCCTGTTCTCTGTCCCCTCCAGGTCCTCCCTGACTACCTCAAGGGGCTGTTTACTGTCCTGCCACCCGCCAGGCCGGGAGAGCAGCACTTCCCACACGCGGCCAAGCTGGCCGCCCTCCAGCACCGAGCCAAGGACCACCATCACCTCCCCACCGCGTATGGCTGGGAATGGAGGGTCCGGGTTGTGGGGTGCATCCCATGCGGTGCGGGACCCCCCCCCCCAGCCTGACCCCTGGCTCCCCTCAGGCGGGAGGTGCAGGATTATGTCCCACCACAGCTCTTCCGCCTGCTGAAGGCTCAGTCCTGGCTCCATATGGTGACCCCGCACATGCAGCAAGCGCAGGCGCTCAGCGCCCACCAGGCCAGGGCGCAGTTCCTGGGTGAGCAGGAGCGGGATGGAGCCAGGGAGGTGATGCTAGTGGGGATGTGATGCTAATGAGGATATGTGCTAATGAGGATGCAGTGCTGCTGGAGATGCAGTCCTGCTGGGGATGCAAGGCTGCAGGGGTTGTGGTGCTGCTGAGGATGTGATGGAATGATGATGATGGGGATGCGCAGGAGGTGATGCTGATGAAGATGAGATGCTGCTGGGATGTCATACTCTGGGTGGGGAGCCTGGGATGGGCCCTGCATGGAGGCAGGGGTGCTGCATGGCCAGTGGGATGCTGCACACGGAAGGCAGGACCACAGCAGCAGGACAGAGCAGGCTGCTTGGCCACCCACTTTCCCATCAGGCTGCAACAGGGCCCCTTGATTGCTCCTGGGTCCAATCCTGGTTCTGGTTCAGCGCCAGGCTCTGGGAGCCCACCCAGCTCCTACCATGCATGGGGTTGTTTTGGTCCCTCAGCACAGCCAGGCAGGACAGGGTGGTGATGGGCACTGAGACCCCGTCCTCCACCCCGCAGGGCTGCTGAGTGCCTACCCCATGTTTGGCTCGTCCTTCTTCTACATCCAGAGCTGCAGCAACAACGCCATCGTCTCCCCCTGCATCCTGGCTGTCAACCAGAACGGCCTCAACTTCCTCAGCAAGGAGACCCACGTAGGTGGGGGGTTTGGGGTGGGGGGACCCCCCCTGCTCCTGTCCCCATCCCAGCAGGGGCAGAGCCTGTGGCACCACGGGATGTGAGGCTGGGAGACGGGGATATCCCTCTCCAAAGCAGGGTCCGGGTTTAGCTCCATCAGCGCGCCCGGGGCTGCATCACCAGCATCCTCCGGTCCTCGGTCCTTTTGGGGCACACGGCCCACCCCCTTGTCCCCTTCCTCAGGAGCCCATCGCCAAGTTCTCACTGAAGGAGATCCAATCCACACGGACACAGCGCCCCACGGCCGGGTCCAGCTACCCCTACGTGGAGATCACCCTGGGCGACCTCCTGGCGCAGGGCATCACCCAGCTGCAGCTGGAGCAGGTTGGGGATGCTCGGGGAGCATCCGTGGTGGGGGTCCCATGGCGGCGGTGGGGTCACCAATGGTTGCGGACCCCTCCGGCAGGGCCTGGAGCTGTGCCGAGTGGTGGCTGCGCACATGGAGAGGTTGTTGGGAGCACGGGAGAAGAGGCTGACGCTGCCGCCCAGTGAGATCACCCTGCTCTGAGCGTGGACCCACCGTGGAGCCCATCATGCACCCAGTATGGGATCCACCATGGACCAGCACCATGGGACCCACCGTGGAGCCCATCATGGACCCAGTATGGGACCCACCATGGATCAGCACCATGGGACCCACCATGGGACCCACATGGAACCAGCCGTGGATTGCCACCATGGGACCCCCATGGAGCTCGCCATGGAATCCCACCATGGATGCTGTTCCCTGTCTCCCCTGCACTGTTCTCCTTAGGGTTTTATACACATCCATGAGCCCGCCCTGACTCGGTCTCCATGGCTTGTGCTGCACTTGCTGATGCCCCCGTGCCTCAGTTTCCCATTCCTGGTGCCTCACTTCCCCCATTCCCGGTGCCTCACTTCCCCCATTCCCGTGCCTCAGTTTCCCATTCCCGTGCCTCACTTCCCCATTCCCATTCCTCACTTCCCCCATTCCTGTGCCTCAGTTTCCCATTCCCATTCCTCACTTCCCCCATTCCCATTCCTCACTTCCCCATTCCCGTGCCTCAGTTTCCCATTCCCGTGCCTCAGTTTCCCATTCCTGTGCCTCACTTCCCCCATTCCCGTGCCTCAGTTTCCCATTCCCGGTGCCTCACTTCCCCCATTCCCGTGCCTCAGTTTCCCATTCCTGTGCCTCACTTCCCCCATTCCCGTGCCTCAGTTTCCCATTCCCATTCCTCACTTCCCCCATTCCCGTGCCTCACTTCCCCATTCCCATTCCTCACTTCCCCATTCCCGTGCCTCAGTTTCCCATTCCAATGCCTCACTTCCCTCATTCCCATTCCTCACTTCCCCATTCCCATTCCTCACTTCCCCATTCCCGTGCCTCAGTTTCCCATACCAATGCCTCACTTCCCTCATTCCCATTCCTCACTTCCCCCATTCCCATTCCTCACTTCCCCATTCCCGTGCCTCAGTTTCCCATTCCAATGCCTCACTTCTCTCATTCCCATTCCTCACTTCCCCCATTCCCGGTGCCTCACTTCCCCCATTCCCATTCCTCACTTCCCCATTCCCGGTGCCTCACTTCCCCATTCCCATTCCTCACTTCCCCCATTCCCATTCCTCACTTCCCCCATTCCCATTCCTCACTTCCCCCATTCCCATTCCTCACTTCCCCCATTCCCATTCCTCACTTCCCCATTCCCGTGCCTCACTTCCCCCATTCCCATTCCTCACTTCCCCCATTCCCATTCCTCACTTCCCCATTCCCATTCCTCACTTTCCCCATTCCCATTCCTCACTTCCCCCATTCCCATTCCTCATTTCCCCATTCCCGGTGCCTCACTCACTCCCCCCGGCCCCATTCCCTCCACATTCCCCCCGCCCATCCCCAGCTGCCGGGATGCCGGAACCCCTCTGACCCCCCCCCATCCCATTCCTCCGGACCGCCAGGGGGCGATGGCGCCCCGCTGCCCCCACCCCCTCCCCCGCCGCCAGCCAATCCCGAGGTGGGTGGGCGTGGCCTCCGGTTACCGGCGGCTCCGCGCGGCGATGGCGGCGGCGGTGCGCGTACGTGCGTGACGTGCGTGACGTGCGCGCACACGAGGAGCGGTTGGGGGGCGTGGCCTTCGCCGTGAGGGGGCGCGTGCGCGGCAGGGGCGGGGCCTGCACCGGGATGTCGGGCTGGCTCCTGGTGACGTAGCGCGCCGCGGGAAGGGCCGCGACAGACCCCGGTGGCCGCCGACCCCCGCACCGGGCCCGGCACCGGCTCCGGTGTCGTTCCCTCCCCCCCACTTCCCCTTTCCCCTTCCTTCTCCTTCCTCGTTCTCCTCTCCCCGCCATGCGCAGCGCCGCGGGAGCGGGCAGCGCCGGGGCCGCCGCCGCCGCCGCCGCTGGGCATGTGCCAGGCCCGGCCGCCGCGTGAGCGCCGCCGCCGGTACCGGCAGCATTGTCCGCGCCAGCCCCGGGCCGAGCCGTGAGTGTGGCGTCCGCTCGGGCCTCCCGTCCTTCCTCCCCCCCCCCCGTCGCGGTGGGAGGGCGGGAGCCGGGTCCCGTATCGCGGTTGATGGGGGGGGGTGGAACAAGTCGCGATATGGCGGGAACGGGGGGGGGGGTTGGTCCCGTTTCTCACCTCCCCCGGTCCTCACCTCCCCGTCCCTCCGGGGCTCTTCCCGCAGGGCGGCGGGTGCCATGAATAGCAGCTGCGCGTCCCCCGCCGCCGCCCGCCGCCGCCTGCAGCGCCGGGATCGATAGAGGCGGGGGCTGCGGACGCACTATGGCCGGCACCGGCTACACGGACCTGCGGGAGAAGCTCAAGTCCATGATGCCCTACCGGGACGGCCACAAAGGGAGCGGTGGAGGCGGCGGCGGCGGTGGAGGTCTCGCACGGGAACCCCCCGACCCCCCCCTTTACGATCGCAAGCGGCGGCACCAGGAGGATTCCGGCTCCGAGCCCAGCGACTACGAGGAGCAGAAGGAGGAAGAAGAAGCTCGGAAAGTGAAGAGCGGCATCCGCCAGCTTCGCCTCTTCAGCGCCGAGGAGTGCGCCAAGATCGAAGCTCGCATCGAGGACGTGGTGTCCCGGGCGGAGAAGGGGCTCTATAAGGAGCACACGGTGGATCGGGCCCCGCTGCGGAACAAGTATTTCTTCGGGGAGGGTTATACCTATGGGTCTCAGCTGCAGAGACGAGGCCCCGGGCAGGAGCGCCTGTATCCGAGGGGAGAGGTGGATGCTATCCCCGAGTGGGTGCACGACCTGGTCATCAGGAAGCTGGTGGAGCACCGGGTGATTCCGGAGGACTTTGTGAACAGTGCCGTCATCAACGACTACCAGCCCGGGGGATGCATTGTCTCCCACGTGGACCCCATCCATATCTTTGAGAGGCCCATCGTCTCCGTCTCCTTCTTCAGCGACTCGGCGCTTTGCTTCGGGTGTAAATTCCAGTTCAAACCCATCAGGGTCTCGGAGCCTGTTCTCTTCCTGCCCGTCAAGAGGGGAAGCGTCACGGTGCTCAGGTAACCCACCCTCAAGGCCTCCTGTTAACGTGCTGGGGGCTCGGTTGTGTAACGCTCGTCGTGAGGCACGCGGATGCACGGCTCGGGCTTGATCTCACCCGCCTGCAAGCATGCGGGGTCTTGGTGGAAGGGGTATCGGAAGGGTTTGGAGGGGATGGGGGTTTTAGGGATGGAGGGTGCCCTCTCCATAAGGTTTGAGGGGAGTCGTGCTGGGAGCGAGGCCACTTTTGGAGCTGAGCTTTGCCTGTCAGTGGTTAAAATAACACATCGAGACACAAAATGGATCCTCTGCCCATGAGCGGTCAGAGCGGAGCAGCTGGTTGGGATGGGGCTCCTGGGTCTATTCTTAGCTCGGCCATGCCTTCCCGACCTGACCTTAAGCGTGGAGAGGAGGAGGTGTGAATGGCCTCGTCCTCCCAGTCCCTAAACTGGGAATACTGAACCCTCTCCTGCCTGATGCCAATGGGGAGATGGGAGAGCCCTGTGGGAAGGGTTGCTTGGAAGCGCGGCGGGTCACGGGCACAAGGAAGGGTTTTACTGTGTGTTCCTGCAAGCAAAGGAAGAGCTGTGGAGGTGAAATGACCTGCCCAAGGTCATGCAGCCAGTCGGTGGTAAAGCTGGGATTGACACTGGGAAACTGTGCTGGGCAGGCAGGTAAAAGGACAGGGACAGGCAGGATTGTGTGGAGCTGGTACATACGGACCCACTGGTGTCCTGGTCTTAGGGCTTGCGTCTCAAAGCCCAGCACTGGGGCTGCTTAACTCCGTGAGCACCAACCCCTCATGTCCCTGAAGGTCAGAGCGCTCCCTGCCAGGAGCAGGGATCACCTGGCCTCTGCCAGCAGGGCAGAGCTACCAATGGTATCCCCATTTGAGGTTTTAGGTTTGGGGTTGGGGAAGGTCCAGGCTGGTTTTCAGGGCTCCCAAGCAGTAACACAATCCCTTCCATTGGCTTGTAAAGTGATCGCTGCAGGGTTCGGGAAGGAATTCTTCCCCCCACATCCACACAGCCTCACCCGCTGACTGGGGGCATCAATAATAAATGCTGAGCTCTCGCATCGCTTCCCTCTTGGAAAAGCTGCACAAACATGAACTAACCCATGGGGTACCCCCGGCGTTAGGTAACTCGTGTGGATTAGGGAGGGAAGTGGCAGTGGCGCTGAGGATGTTTCCACCCTCGTTTTCCTGCTGGTGAGGTGAACCTTTGTGCTGCCATTCCCTGGCAGGCCTGGGGTAAATACTTGTCCTTCCTTTCAGAGCCAGAGGTCTTTTGCTGAGGACAGGGAGAGCGTTTCCTTGCTCAGAAGCACGCTGGCAGAGCTGTTAGTGCAGGCTCGCTCTGGAGTCTTGCAGGCAAAGCCACTAGGAAAACTCACGGCTTTCCAGCCAAAGCAGGATCAGGACTTGCAGTGGAGCATTAGAGGTGCTTTGCTCTGCTCCAGGACCAGGAACTGATGTTTTCTGGTGCCGTATCCTCACTTTTCCCTCTGTAACTTCCGGGAAGAGGCAGCTGACTCAGGGCTCAGGGGTTGCAGAGGGTGTCTCCCAGGCCTGTGTGTTTGGGTCGTTGGCCAGGTCACCTGGGTGCTGTAATCAGTTTATTAACTGAAGCAATGGTACAAATCAAACCAAGAGAGCTTGTTTTCCTTCCAAACAGAAGGGTTGCTTTCTACCCCACCGCAGGCCATTTATTCCCTAGCTTAATCCCGGTTAGAAGTTCTGCTCTCCAGCAAATAATAGCCTTTAAAACAGGGATTATTTCAGTTTTGGTACTGCAGTTAGCAGATACTTAGCACTCACTTAAGAGATTCTGCCAAAGTGATTGTTCTATGATGATATGATCCTGGCTGGATGGGAGTTCCTGGACTCCGCTCTGCCCTTCTAACCCTGGCAGTTTAGGGAGAGGTGCAGACCCTCGGCAGGCTCTCAGGGGTCTATATCCCAAATCCAGCCCTTGGTCGTGTTAAAGTCAACTCCCCAAACTTGGCTTGTTCTCCTCTCAGTAAACAGTTCCTGAAGGCAGTTGCCCTGG